TTATTCGTTGTCACGTCTGTGGCTTCATGTTTATCTGACGGTTTTTACACCTTTAAACTTGTTTTAACTTGTGGCAGAAACCTGCAGAGCTTTGAAACCTCTGCAAGAGTTTTGTGTTAAGATCTCGAGTTTTCCTATAATTCAGGAAAATGCATTTGTCTCTGAGAAACTTGTGTCTATCTGAAAGCCAAAACATGCAGAACATCAGAAATCAGAGGATTTCTTGTGGGAATATGACCGCCGGTATTAGCTGGGATTAATGGTGGATGAGTGAGTCCAGAGGAGAAGTATAGTTTGAACTTTGCCGTCTTATTTTCTTTCTGCACAACGCTGAGATCGACAGAAATAACCACGGTGCTTGTTTTTCTGCCACCCTGCGGCCCAGCCACCCTCTTTTGTGTTTGCAGTCGCGATGACATTTAAACACACAGAGAGCGCGAGCGTTCAGGACAAACGAATGAGCGGAAAAGATCTGTTTGGCACGGCGCTGGATGAGGGGGAAGAGGCTTGTTTTTCAGATCAAATGCACAAAAGTCTTTAGGCGTAAAACAAGCAAACATTCGCTCTCACACACGCGCATCCTCGTGTTTTTATATTTAGCGCTGAACTTGCCGGCAGGATCTCACTGCGATGGTTTGCATTAACCTTACTTTCCTGGTGTGATGTTCAACCGATTCCCACGCTCTGAGGAAAGAAAAAACACAGGAGGAACAGTATGTGTGTGAGTTTTGACCTTTGACCCCTCTGTCTGTGTCATCTCCCCATAAATAAAGCCCCTCTGGCCTCGATGGTCATTTTCTGAATCATTCTTCATAAAGATGAAAGTTTCTTAAATCCCTGAGCTGCGGCTCCCAGGAGCCTCTTCACAAACACACAAGACTGGACAGCAACTGGACAGCAACTGGAGCTGGTGGAGCTTTTCCCGTTTGACGTCTTTTCAAGTTGAAATACGGTTAAGCTTTGATAGCAGAGATCCCAAATGAAGGAGATGAATCAAGTTGGAAGATTGTGACTCGCATGAGTTTAACAAGAAACAGCTCAAAATACGAGACGGTTTAGTTTCAACAGACAGAAAGATCTCTTTAATAATCCTATACCTTGCTGAAAAAATGGCCTAGTCAAAGTCCAGATCTAAGAGCATTTGAGATTTTGCAGTGAGTTTATGTGCCAGAGGTTCACTGTCCACTGCGATCAAGCCTGACTTTGTTTTCATAAAGAAATGCTTCCTAGAAAACCAGATGTGGTGGAAACAAAACCTGCTGCTCCTTCAGATTTTTACTTTTTAAAGACGTTGAGAAGGATTTCTTCGTAAAGTTTGTGGTTGCAACAATCAGACACAGACATTTATTTATTTTTAATGGAGCCACTGATTCTTTGTTGGGGGTTTTTGTGATTTTTGTTTGTGTGTAAATCAAACATCTTATCACGATAGACTGAGGAAAGGAATTTGATGAAAAGTGAATAAAAACAAATTTAAGCAACTTTTTTTGATGAGCTTTTCTAGAGAGTAATTCCTCCTCAGGCTGTAAACTAAACATCCTGCGAAGAACGAGGAGGTGAGGATGTGGGTGTTCAGGCACCTCTTTGTTTATGGGAGAGGAAAGTTTAGTAAAATAGACTTAAAGCGGCAAGAAAAAAGCTGCAACGTACGTCAGAGAAATGGAGAACAATGCAGAAGGCAGGAGACGGCCGAGGTCACTCATGTTTTAAATGAAACGGCCTTCCTGTCGGTCTGTACGCTTTCAGTGTTGAAAAGAAGTCAGAAATATGAGCTAAAAGACGATATAAGGATCATAACATTTAAATGTTTCCCCTAGCAGATCTCCTGTTGTCTCTTATTGGTTGACAAAAGCAAAAGTTTGCAAGTGGAAAGGACACAATGTCAGTTGTTGCAGTTCCTCATATTGTTCACTAGTGGGCGCTGTGGTCCTGTCAAAAGGCTGTTGAGGTGCTGCTTTGCTCTTCACCATGACTGATAAGTTAGTTCTGGACATTTTATATCTGAAAAGAAATCCTGAATTTATTACTACAGCGAAATGTCACACATTAACAAAATATTAGTGATGTAATTGTCTTAAAAATCAGTTTTAGGTCTGGATTTTGCTGTAATAAATGGCAAATAAAAATCTGAGGGCTGACATTTATTCCAATTCTCCTTCTATGGAAAATATGGTTTCTTTTATGTTTTATAATTTTACAGTTTTATTATGAGTGCACGGATTAAAACACAATAAAATTGTGAAAGAAATAATTTAAAAAATTTATTTAACCATCATTTAAATAAGTTGTGCAACTAATAAATTGTGTTAAATAATGTTTATCTTTCTCCAAGTTTGAAATGCTGCATTTACTTATGAATCTGTTTTTGTGACTGTGTATTCATGCATGCATGTTTAACAATAGTGAATCTGTTTATTTATTTCTCATGATTTTGACTTTAAAAGTCAGAATTTGTTGGTATTCAATGGCCCAAGTCCTCTTCTGTAGTTCTAAAACGTATTTACCTTTTCCTGCAAAATGTATCAACAATAAATTATGCTGCACTTCATTAAATTGAGAGCAGCTAAGAGTAGCTGTATAATGGAGACAGGTGAATGAAAGGAGAAAAATGTACTGTAAAGATGTCGGGCGGTGAGCTTTTCCTCGGAGTTACCTTGTAGGATTTAAAAATAGATTCTCTCGTAAACATGGCTTTGAAGGAGAAATCATCTCAGAGGCCTCCAGAGTGAGGGGAGGTGTCGTGTCTACGTAAGCATCGCCACTAGTCTCCCAGTTCACCTCTTTCCTGTCAGGTAGATCTATTTTTAGCCTCTGACGTCACTGGGCTCCTCTGATGGAGCCTGTCACGGCCCACTACACAGATCCAAGGGAGGGGAAAGCGGGGTGCCGCTGCTGAGAGCGGCGGTGGGGGCGGGGGCTGTCATTGAGGTAAACCCTGCCGCTGAAGCCCCGCCTCTCTCCGCACCAATCCGCAGCGAGTCGCTGAACGCATCAGCGTGCTGGATGCAGCCTTCACAGCTACTCCTTCTCGTCTCTCCATCTCTATCTGCTTCTGTGAATTGGACTGGGTCCATTCACAGTGAGTTGCATAATCACACTCCTTCATTTATCTGAACTATTACTGGTGAAGCCCTGCAGGCAGGGCTAAAAATAGCCAGAGAGGCAACCTCAGTGCTCTGGTTTCTATTGATATGACCAGGGAAGGGAGGAGAGCAGCTGAACAGATCCCAGGAATGGATCCCATTGACAGAAACGCATTGAAATAAATCCACAAAAGGTCTGCTGAGGTGTCCGTTTAGTGTTTCAGTCACATGCCCAGTTTTAAAGCATTTGCATTTATTTTTAGCATTTTAAAGCAAACAAAATGGGAGAACGGATGTTCAGATTCTAAGTCCTGATCAGAAGAATCTATTTTTGTCTTTACTCGGCCTGAAGAAGATGTGGTAGCACCAGACCCAATAAAAGTTGCAGAGTAATAACTTATTTCTGATCCTACCTTTGAAATCTAGTTGCTAAACTCTGATGTTCTCCTCCTAACCGTCATTGACCCGTACTGGAGCTGTTATCATTGGTGGCGGGGTTTTTAGGTCATAATGTGCTGATGTAACGCGCCGGTGTTGACGTCAACACGGAGATAGCGGGCAGAAAGATGTGCGTATGTGTATGTTTGATTGCGAACAGCCAGTAATCACAAGGTGACCCGTTCTGCAACTGGGCGGGCATTTTTCACAAGTTCACTTTCCCATTTGGTTCTCGGACTTCATTCACAATTTCTGTCGTGTTTTTCCCCTAATGCATGTCCGTCAGTTCATGCAGTTATAGGTCTTTGACACAACGATGCTTCAAAACTGTGTTAATACACTGTAAAACATTTTAAGGTGGTTTAACTTTAACATGAAAGTCCACCTGCTGCCTTGAAAATGCCATTTCAATCGACAAGAAAATCGTTTTGGATTTAACTCGGAAATTAAAGTTCGCAAAGTCGCTTTAACAACAAGAGTCAAGTTGTCTAAATGTTGTTTTCTAAGTTCATTAATCTCAAAAAGTGAGTTTTAACTTACTGCTGCAATTTAAACCAAATAATTATTTCACAATATGGAAGAAAAAACAAACTGCCCTCACTTAGTTAAAGAGCCATTTCTGTTATTTTACTCACAATAACAACATCTACTTATTTTACTTTAGAATAATTTAAATTCTTGTTTCTAGTTTTATGAACTAAATTTCTGATCAGATAATGAATGAATGAACTTTTAGTGTAAACAGGACATAAAAATAAGGATTTTCCTTCACAACACAAGAGTCAGATCAATCCAACGCACTTGCATCTCAGGATACAGTAACATGCCGCTAAGCATTCTGGGAAATAGTTCCCACTCCTGTCTTTTTCTTATTTTAGTTTTTTAAGTGTTAACCTAAAAACTGTAGTTTATTCAACTCTTGGAGGTTTGACAAAATTAATTTTAAAAAAGTTAAGACAACTTCTGTAAGTTTCTTTCACAAACTCACATTTATCTAAAACTTGATACGTTTATTTGACTTACACAGTAGAGGATAATAGACACAACTAAATGAAGTTCAAGTGTTTTACAGTGTCGGATAAATTGTTTTAAAACTGTAAATTGTTTGATTTACTGATTTTTTTTGCAAATTTAACCAAAGTAATCAACAATAATACTGACACCAACCCTCAGAATCACATGACCTTTTTATTGTTTCAACTTTTCCATTTTATTAATTTGTCATAGTTGGAAATTGAAGCTTTGAGTTTTCTAATCAGTAAGGAAACCTATTTATGATATGATTTTAATCTTTTCAGCTGAAAAGTTTAATTGTAGATTTTCAGGATTTCCACACATTTATCCAAATGGATTCAGTCTTGACCCAATATGAAGATTAACTTGGCATAATTTGGTTAAAATTGTAATAACATTTAAAAAATCCATGAAAAATTGAATTGTGTTGTAACTCGTGTTGGGTGTTTTGTTCTCCTTTTGCAGTTTTGATGTGGAGAATGGCCTGTCGGTGGGTCGCAGTCCACTGGACTCTCAGACGAGCCCGGGATCCGGTCTGGTACTTCAGGGCAACTTCCCTCACAGTCAGCGCCGGGAGTCTTTCCTCTACCGCTCCGACTCAGACTTCGACCTGTCGCCCAAAACTATGTCTCGCAACTCGTCCACTGCCAGCGACCTGTGAGTAAATAAACATGCTGCGCTGTTCTGACTGTGGTTCATTTAAATCAGCTACGTTTTATTCATAGCCTATATGTGTGATAAATTAATAAGACATTGAATCTTTTGAAAATGGTAACCTCAAGAATAAGAAACATAATTAACTGGACTTCAGAGGCTTCATGTCGTTCTGAACAGATCGACTCCAAATTATAACTCATTTATGAATGAGTTAATATCTGGGCAGCAGCAACATTACTGTAGTACTTATAGATAAATTTAAGTGATCAGTCAATCAGATTTCATTGGTGATTAAAAGGCCAAATACAGAAAAATTGAGGTTCTTTTTGGTTTGGTGAAAACGTCACACATTTTAGAATTTTTATAAAAACCAAAACAGGACCAATGAAGTGATGCTGCTCTTTATTTTCTACTGGATACCAAACTCTATCAGCCGTCTGCAGATTTTATTTTGCATTTTTTTAGGAACACACCTGAAGATTCAGCAGATTAAAGTTTTTCCCTGAGTTTATGTTCATTTGTTCGCACAAAGATTTCTCTGTGCAGCGAGAGTCTGATTAGACCCGAATAGGGTCCCGACCACCAATAGCTGTTGCTCCTTTGTTTTGAAGGGAGGAAGGACTGAAGCATTGGGAAGTTAATTGGCTACCTCGGTGAGAAAACGTGTGAAGATTCCTGTGTTTTTGCTTTCCTGTCTGTCACCTTTGGGCTTCTTCATGTATCCTGACCCTTCTGCTTCCACTTCTCCTTGCCTTGAACAAGAAGTCCTAGCAAGCATTCAACAGAACTGAAATCACCCATATTGCATTTTTTGTTTGGAGAATGAATTTGGCACTGATTTCAGAAATGTTTGCTAGAAAGTGATGCACAAACTGGCTTAATTTTCCCAGCAGCATGATGTATGAAGGTGCTTAAAGGGAAAGTTCACCTCTTTGAAGTGGAGTTCTGTTATAAAATATTACGATGTGCAGTAAATATCTCAGCTTTCCAAAAGTCTCCAAAGTTGGTGCAATGCAACCGAACACAAAGTAGTGCACAGCTGTGAAATGGTAATGTAATTATAGGTTTTATTTCTTTTATTTCAGTTTTTATTTCTCGCTTTAGAAGTCACTTATTTAGTGATTTGAGATTTATATCAGAGTTAACCTATAACAGAATATCCAAGGATTTAGACAAGGAGAGAAATAATCAGAAATTTTACTGCAATTTCAGCTGCAAATCCTTTTGTTCACCAGTCGTGGATCTTGCCAAAACTAACCGAAAATACAGTAGTAATAGAAATAAATAAATGATTTGATAACGCAATTAAAATTGTGCATCAAGAAACCACTTCCTCATCTTGTTTGGTTATATAGTGAAATATGTATTAATATTGTTTATCATATTAAACAATTGTAATTTAACAATATCACTATAATTTAATTTTTCATTTTATTTCCAATTTTTCAGTTTTTAATAGTTTTTGTTTATATTATTTATTTTTTCTAAATTATGTTATGTTTATTTGATATGATTTCTCTATTCACTGCTACATCTTATTTTTTTAAATCTATATTTTGCAGTTAGTATTTTTTAAATTTATTTTACCTTCTTTTTTAAATCATACGTCAATTTATTTTAGTTTCATGAAAATTACAGACATATCTTACACATTGTTACACTTCACAATAAAATCAGATGGGAAAGTTTTTTTTTTGGGTGGAATATTTGGCACATTAATTACTTTATAATTTATTTAATGTAAAGCTACTATTTGAATCAGGTTACTGCTAAAGATAATTATTTAGGTAAAAAATACATACTGTATTTTTTGTTACATTTCACAATTATGCACTACTGAGGTTGTTCTATTGCATAAAATCAGAACAAAAACACAACGTAGTTTCTGGTCGCATCGGAACAAGCTGTGAATAAATCCAAAGGGTTTAGGAGAAGTTGTACATCGAACACGTTTGCTTCTGCAGATTGTATTTGAGGTGTTTTAGTATGACAGAAGTCGTACTAAAACGACTTCTGATGCAAACGAGCTGCAGGGAAGATATTTTTTATCCATAACCTGAAAGCCCTGCTTCAGAAAAATGCCAGAACTTTCCCTTTAAGGTGCATGCTGTGGCACCTTTTCACACAGCACTCAGAGCATGAACACTGCTCCTCGCCTGCTCTTAATACACAAACCTGTTTCAAGGCCTTGTGGGATTTTTGAGCTGAAAGAAACACAAGTCAGACTCTTGATTTCCACTGACACATTTCAAGACATTTAGTCAAGGTAATTTTAGGACCTCCTCCCCTTTAAAGCTTCACCAACTGTTGAGATTAACTGCATTTATGTAAATAATATGTCTCCCTTTATCCAGTGTTAAGCTCAGATCAAACATGTTTTTAGCAAACTGCAACTTTCCTCCAATATCCTCATGCAATGTCTATTTGTCTTGAAGAATCTTGGTTCATATGGGTTTCCTTTCACATGACTTTTTACCAGATGTTTGTGTGATGTTTCAGGCATGGAGAAGACATGATAGTGACTCCATTTGCACAGGTTAGTCCCATTATCACTAATCCTTTAAAGTTGATTTTCATCATATTTGATCAAGAAATGCAGGACATGTAACATTAATCATCTCTGGAAAAGACAATTATTGATAGATGTGTTAGTTAAGCCTTTAGTGGAACCATGAAAGTCCCTTTAGGATTTTTTGCAATCAAAATCACTAATTTTGTGATGCTATATATTTTTTCTTTATTAAATGCCTTTCAAAATCTTCATATTGAAGCAAAAAAGTTGAGAAAAAATAAAAAACAAACAGTTTGGACACAATTTTTTAGTATTTAATAATCCTAATTAGCTTGATATCTCCAGACATGGATATAATCCACTTATGTATGTCAATAATGTGGCGTTTTGTTATTCTTTGTATCAGAGTATTTGTTGACATAAAGGATAAGGCAGTACTTTAGCTAAAGTAAGAAATACCGCCACTTGCAGGTGGGAGGTAGCAGTCACTTAAATCCACTTTTAGATCATTTTGGCTGGAAATTTTCCAATTAAAAACTGTAGGGACTGTTTTACCGACGTTCTATGCACAAAAGAGCAGAAAACATCAAATATTAGGACACTTTTAGATTAATTATGTTTAGATTTCATTGGGCTGTTATAACCCAATAAAATCTACATTGGTGACCAAATAAAAAAAAAAAGCTCAATGCTAATTGTCCGAATTTCTGCTGAACAGTGTTTGATCTGAAGTTGTTGAAAATTATCATACTGTTTTATTTAAATTCATATCGGAAAAAGGTTGTAATTTTGTGCTTATAATCGATGTGATGTTGGAGGTTACTCATCAGTCTGAGAAATAAGAGATGGTTCATTTTTCACAGAAAACACCCACACACATTCTCTTTGTACTGCACAGCTTGTTCTCACTATTTATTTCCTGAGCGTTCTGTGTACAAGGGATTTTCCATCCATTTACTCTGGATTCACCTGCAGGAATCACAAAATGCATCACCCTCCTATGAACATCTACTCACTCATTTATGTAGAGTTTGAAGTTGATTCTTGCAGCTTTAGACCCAAAATATACATTGAGTTGTGCATTTGTTGTTTAATGTGTTAAAACCATTTTCTTTTTTGACATTTTAAGGATTCAGATTAGATCCTTTGCCTGTAAAAATACTAGTGATATTTAAATCCTAAAGATAATCTCTAAAGAGCCTTAAATTTAAATAGAGGGGTTACTGACATCAAGGCTTTCAAAAGGTAAGGTATCAAAACTGCTCAACCTTTTATTTGCTCTTCCTACAATTTAACATCATTTCAATGAGATTCAGATAAAATAGCAAGAGGTTCAGAGTTTTCTCTGGCAGAATAATACGGCTTTGTTCCACCCCCACCTGTTTCTTTGCACTCCAGGTTAGCTGGCTGAAAGAATAGCAATATAGGAGGAAAAACAGTCAAAAAACATGGTGGAGGCATCATTGTACTGTGGGGATGCACGGTGCATGCAATCAGTATTAATAGAGTAAAACTGTGAAACTGTTTTGAAATATTTGCTAAATTAAGAGGACAAATGCACAAAAGTAAATTTGGAAAAGTAAATTTGTGCAGAAAAAGGCTAAACAGGCTAAACATTTAATTCTCTAAGGACTGTAATCTTTTGTGATTTCCAGCAAAATCTGTAAACTTCTTTTTAAATAATCATCCAGTGCAAACTGATTAATTTAAAGATTCATACGATCAACAACTGCGACATCTTTGAGATAAATTTGTTTCTGCTATACCAAGCTGTTAACTGATAAACAGATCTTTATTTTGTCAGAGTAAAAATACGAACACAGAAGTGTCAGTGTTTAAAAAATGCGTAGTATCCCTTTAAGAAGTTTTCTTTGCTTTCTGCAGGTTCTGGCCAGTCTGCGAACAGTAAGAAGTAACGTCGCTGCTCTGACGCATCTCCAAGATCGTGTGGTGAACAAGTAAGAGCAGAGTTACGGAATGACAAACTGCTGGATGGTTTTGTTAATTTGACCAAAACTTCACCTGTTTCCTGCTCCAGACGACCATCGAGCGCCAGTCAGCCGCCGCTGTGCAAACCGTGTCTCTCAGGTCAGTTCATCATGGGACTCTAAGAAGTTGTACCTGCAGATAAACCTGTTTCATTTGTTGGTTTTCTTACAACTTTTTCTTTTAAACTGTGTTTAGGCTTGTATCTCTTAAGTTTTCATACCCTGACAGAATTTATAATTTCTGATTATATTTTAAAGAATGTGAAGGAAAATAAAAGAAACTTTCATTCATTTTTAGTGGTTGATTATCAATCAGTCAAGTCTGTGAAGCTTCCTAAATAATGCTGATCAAATGTCTTGACGGCATATTCCAAGTTGAAAAGATCTTTTGATGGATTTAGTTTGGATGAATCTTAATTCTAGTTTTGTTTGAGAAAATTGCCATTTAAAATGGCTTATCTGTTTTAAAAATAAAGGAAATGTTGATTAGGATTTATCTGTGTTTCACGGTTTCTTTACTTTTAGGTTTTGTGGCTCAAAAAATTTACAAAATTTATTATTTCACTACTGATGCACAAATCTGTATGTTGTTCTTTGTCCAAATTAAAATCTGACTAAAACATGTGAGATACATGTTGACTTTCACATCTTACATTTAATGTTTTCTATTTTACTGTTTGTTTTCAAATATTTTCTGTGTAAATAAAGGTAACAATTAAACTATTTACATAAAAAAAACAGTGTAAACAATTGATTAATTTTATTTGTGTAGCACATTTCAGTAACAAGGCAGTTCAAAGTGCTTTACATCATAAAAGCACCAAAATACAAATTTATAAAAGACACCATACAGTCAACAGCTGCAAAAACAATTTAAGCTTTTATTTTTAACATATATAATGAGTTTATGGAACTAAATTTGGGACAGGTTCAAGATCAATTTTGTGTTCTCCCTTTCTGAGATAAACAATCGGTGGATTAGTCATTAGGGAAGTTTTAATACTTTGTTATGAAGTTGGAAATTGCATCCTGATAAACCTTCCGCTGTCCCACTTTTCACTTGAAACGTGTGTTTTTCTTGACCTTTCAGAAGAGCCTTATCAGAAGCTCACGATGGAGACTCTGGAGGAGCTGGACTGGTGTCTGGACCAGCTGGAGACGCTGCAGACGAGACACTCAGTCAGCGAAATGGCGTCCAATAAGGTAAAGGACTTCCTGTTCGCTGTGACGCAACACAACACAGCCAGAGCTGTTCCTAAATGTCTGCTTATAAACTGTTTGGCTCATTAATGCCATTTTCATCAAGTTTTTAAAGCATGATTTGTCCTCATGGCTGCAGTAGGCAACTTTTTTTTTTTTTTTTAATATGTTTTTTACTGATTTGATAACTCTGCCAGCATTTTGTGACAAATAATTGATGAAAAAAAATCAAGCTCCTGTCTGCAGAAATTCATGGTTCCCAAACAAAAACAACCAATCAGAGGAGGGTCTTAGCGCTGTCAGTCAAACTCGTGCACGTGCTGCTAAATGTGCTAATGGCTGAAAAATAACCTACACTTCCAGAATAACTGTCCGCCGTCATCAGTGTTTATGGTAACTGACCATTCCTGGAAGAAGCTGCAAAGCTAGTGGAGATTAGCATACAAAAGCTTGATTGATAGCGATAAGACCCGCCTCCTCGCTCTTATTGGTTGTTTCTAGTTAAAACTGGGAGAAGACATCTTTCATACTGTGCTGTCAGGACACAGTGTCAGTTTCAATACACAGCTCTGGAAAAAAATTAGTTAGTTTCTCTGATCTATCTTTTTATAGATTTATGTTTGAGTCAAATGAACTGTCCTTTTTATGAACTTTTTATTCTATGAACTACTGACATGTCTCCGCAATTTCAAGCAAAATTTTTTTATTTAATGGTCAAAACAAGGAAAAAGATGCAGCGCTTTCAGAGCTCAAATAATGCAAAAAAGAAAAACAAGTTCATATTCATTTAGAAACAACAATAGTAATGTTTTAACTCAGGAAGAGCTCAAAAAATATTTGGTGGAATAACCAGGAGGTTTTCGATGGGGTTCGGTGTAGTGTGTGAAAAATTAATTTAAATAAAAGTTATAGCCTGCAGCTTTAAAGAATTAATTTGTCATATTTTCTGCAGCATAAAATCTTATTTTGTGACAACCCATATGAACAAAACATGGTATGTATTATGAAAAGACACACCAGGGTTTTATCACATCCCTCCTCTAAAAGAGTCAATTAGCATCACTTCTTTCTGTTTCTCCGCTCTGTGTGGTTTCTCTGTCACACCGTCGGCCAATCAGCTCTCGGTTTTCCACCCAGCCTCTGAAGCCAGTCGAATATGATTGGTCTGAGTGAGATGGGGGGCAGGAGACTGCATGCAGGACTGAGAGGAGAGTTCGTTGCAGAAACTCCCTTCGTCCCTCTTTCTCATTGACAGTGTGCAGCCGTAGCTGGATAGGAGACTGCAGTCAGCACCCTCCCTATTGCTCCTGATGCTGGAGATCTCTCCATCCCATCCCGGTATCCCCCAGACTCATCAGCACCGGGACCATAGCAGGACACTTGCCATATTTTCTACCGGACAAAATCTTATTTACATTGCTTGGTAACGGTTGATTGGCAACAGGAAAAACTTGGATTTGTATTGCAACTAAGAGCAGCATGCGTTGGCTGACATGCTTCTGCTGGCAGTTTGGGTTTGTCTGTGCTGGGGACTCAGACAGGTGAGTGACAGGGAAGTGGAGCTGGTATCACTTGTTTGGAGGCTTTGCAGACGTGAGACTGAGGGGGGATCTTATATATAATGTTGATAGAGGCAGATCTTTTCAAAACTGGACCTACAAAACTGGACCTACAAACAGGCTGCTGCAGATGCATTGTGAAAAGCTGAATAAGTATCCCTAATTAACATTTTGCATGCAATAGATTCTGTGTTTTGTGTTTGTAAGTTCAGAAAAAGTCTCGGCAGAGGAAGTAATACACTTCTGTCACCCTTTGGATGTTTTTGGACACACCCGTATTTGTATCACTCATGTGAACGCCTCAGCATCCCGACTGTTTGCCTCCTCCCTCAGTCACCACGTGCTGAAGCTATTACATAATCAGTGTGGACATTGCCACGCCGATAAATTCATGAAGACACACTGAACATTATTGCTTCCCAAAAAACTTATTGGCAGGAACAATATCACTGTTTAACTTCTTCGTCTTTTGTGTTGTAATTGAATACAGAGCATTTATGTTTGAAATATCCAGTAACAACAGTAATAACAAAGGTAATGAATGATTGTTTCTGCATAATAAACATAATCAGACTCAGAAAAGCTCTTTAAAAACCTCAATTCAAAGAGAAAACAGTCATACCCTTTGAACTACAAATGTCGCCAATATCTGCGTTGCATTCAGCATTATCATCTGGTGCATATTGCTTTCAAACTCATTCAATAAATTTGAATACTAGTGAAAAGTTCAGCTATTTTAGAAACTTAATCACACATTATATACACAGATGGATGTTTTTCACTTAAAGCTAATAAAAGTATGACCAATATGACCATCGGACCATTTAAAAAAGCTATTTTTAGAATCAGAAAGGGGGATTAGTGAAAGATATGTCTAATACCAGACTAGAGGTTATTTTCAAAAGATATTTTTAATCTGACAAACAAGACAAGTTGGGATGTACATCACGATTTAATAAATATAACTGTACAGAATGTTTTTGCCTATTCTTTTTAGTCACATTCTGCTGATTGTAAGAGACTTTGGCTGATGAAGATATTAAATAAATGGTTTATATTATTGTTTGTTGTGTCACCTGAGTTCCTTCCACAGAAATTCCACAGAATTTTCTATTGAAGAAAATAATTATTTGAAGTATTTTGAAGACATTATTTCAAATAAAAATGTTTATTTTCAAAATAAATTTTAAAAATAAATTTCCTAATTACAGAATATTAGCCAGCCCTTTGATATTACCAGGATATTAAATGGTATAAGTTAGTTCAAGGTGATGTTAGCTAACACGGTAACAATAACAATAGCATATTAGCTCCTTTTGACATAGCATATGTATTAAGTTAGCATTAGATAACTTACTACTGTTAGCCATCATGCTAATAGTTTGCAGGTGAAATATAGTAGGGGAATATTAGCTAACTTCCTAGTAGCTATTAGTAGCTTCTTAGTAGCTACTAGGAAGTTGACTAGTAGCTACTAGTCAACATCCTAACCATAGCTTTTTAGCTAACGTCAGCAGGCTAGCAAATTTTTTACCATATTTAATAAATGTATGTACCAGTTTTAGTCAATAATGTGAGGGGTTTTTTTTAGGCTACCCACTCATTTTGTTTGTTTTTTTGTTTTCTACTTAACAGTTTAAGAGGATGCTAAACCGTGAGCTAACGCAGCTATCAGAGACGAGTCGCTCAGGGAACCAGGTGTCAGAATTCATCGCCAGCACTTTCCTCGGTAAGTTTGTAGCAGGTTAACAGTTTAATTGTGCTCAAAGACACAGGCGACTGGTAATTTTTGTAGTGACAAATGAGTATTTTATTTGTCAAGAAGAGGTGATTCCGACACAAAATGAAAATGCTGGTAAACTGCTATTAACACCAGAGACAAATCTGTGAGAGGAGATGAGGAGGATGTGATTGTGTTACATCTGTGGTGCAACTCATCCTTAAAATAAACGCGTCTGCATACATTTTTCCTAAATTTGAATGATGAATTAATAAAAGGATTACAAGCTTTTAGAAAACTTATAATTTTATCAACTGTGTTGATTGTCCAGGTTAGCATCCCTTGCAAACATCTTAAAAGCTTTTTCCATGTTTTGTCATGTAAATTAAATTTTATGAAATAGGACAACATACATTGAAACATTTCTGAGCGGTGAATACTTTCACAAGGCACTGTTTGTGCAATGTACATTTGCTGAGTTGTGCTACATAATATGGAAGATAAAAAAACATTGCAGAAAATAATGAGTTGTGTTTTCTTGGACTGTGTTTGGAGGCAAAACCCTTGAGTCATATTTAGAAAACAAAACTGCTTAGAAATGCGTAAAAAAGGATAAAATATTGAAATGATAAAAAAAAAGAAAAGAGAAAAATTAAATATGAATTAAGAGGAGGGAATTTGTAGAAAATAATATAGGAAGGGGAAACAAAATGTACATAAAGAAGAAGGACCAAATGTTTTTGTCGAAATGAGGCATCGAAAAGAGCATTTTTCTGAAGGAGAGGACAGACTGGGAAGGTGAGGATTTTTCCGTCTGCAGGAGGAGGCGCAGCAACAGACAGCATTCCCGGACACATTGTGTGGCGTTGTCGTGGCAACTAGGTTGAGTATTATCCGACGGCGTGTTGCATCAATGGGAGGCTCGTTCTTCGGCAGCCCCTCTGGCAGGATGGTCCAGCCAAACGAGGATGGAGCCGTCAGTCCGGCTCCGTTGTGAGATGAGAGCCTCAAGCCCGGCCGCGTTTGGAGATGAACCCAATGGCTCTGGGCGTGAGGAAGAGGAGGCACTGTGAGAGAGGTGAGAGAGGCCAGACGGTGCCTCCTGTGAGGATGTTGTTAGGGTCGGTGATGCGTCTGAACGCTGGCGTGTGCGCCTGTGTCGGGCAGCCGCTGCTGCGAGGCTAATGAAACCAATTACAGCTGGAAGATACAAAGGATAACAAAGGATAACATGCGAACGTGAGGTAAAGAAGTCAAAGCAAGAGGATCGCTTTTGGTTCGTACAAAAATGGATGAGTCATTTTAACGCGAGCATGTCTGCTTGGACAGCACCTTTGTGTCATCTAATGGTATGGAGATCATGTCTGCTATCTTGGTGCAAAACTTCCTGCAGATTTCTTGTTATAAAATCCACTTTTCATGTTTTTTTACGAGTCCTTTTCCATTTTGGAAAACATGAGAAGCTTTTTGTAATTTGGATTAAAACAACCAATGTTTCTGCTTTCTGTGACTCGGTCCTCTGCACATCAGAAACAGGACATGTTTCTGTTTCTCTCCAGCTTTTTTACACTGCTGAAGTTTATTTTGCCTCTCCTGCAATGCGAGTTGCTCACAAGGTCATTGTTCTGTGTTAAGCTGAAAAGATGCCAACATGCATGCACATCCATCATAGAAACATATTCTGAAAGACTGCAACTAGAATCTGAATGTTGTGGTCATTTTTTTTCTATTTTTTGTAAATCTTTGTCCTATGAATATATTTTAATATCTAATTCTTATTTCTCTTTGATAACTAAATTAGAACAACTAATAATCTTATATTTTAGCCCATCTGCTATACCTAATTAGCTGTATTAAGGGCAGAGGTGATGTTGTGGCATATGGGAGAGTATAGATGCCACAAAACACAGTTTTACTATTTTAAAACTGAAGAAGAAGAAGAGTAGTTGACATTTTAAGCTATCTTTAGCATGTTTTATTCAACATTAACCAGACTAGTATTTCTTGTATTACAAATACCAACTCTCTAATTGTACTTTCTGTAATAAGTCGGCTCTAATGTTACTACTAAGGTTAACATGGTTTATATACACCATGTTCCATGACCGAAACAAGCTGAAAGCTCAGAAAGACAAAACAGAGCAACCTTCCTGTTATCATTTATAAATTCTGCTTTCTTGCAGCCTAAATGAATAATACAGTTTTCTTTTAAGTGTTTTAATACCTACTTATTCCTTCTTGATTATGAAAATAGCTGGTTTTGAGTATTCTTTTCTCAGTAACAGGATCCACACCAAAAAAAGGTTTTTTGGAGGGACATTAAACTGATGGAAAACTGTTTTCTTCTGTGTCATAGCCATTTTATGATTGAGACTGATTAAATGTAGATATGAAAGGTGAGCAAGTTGGTTAAATTAAATTAAACACAAACCTAGAGCTGCTGAAGCTGCAGTAAGACACCGTGGCACTGCCTCTCAAATCTGTCAGTTGCTTGGACCACCATTAAGTTTGGACACTGGAGCAAATGGTTCTGGGAGCAGACACGTTTCCAGAGCTCATTTGTGTCTTAACTTTGTGTCTGTTTTGTTTCTGTGTTTTTGATGCTCCAGAGAAGCAACATGACTTGGAGATCCTGTCTCCGCTTGCTAAGGAGAAGGAGAAGAAAAAAAGGCCGATGTCACAGATTAGCGGTGTGAAAAAGGCCACACAAAGCCCAAGCTTAGCGCCTGCTTGCATCCCTCGCTTTGGAGTCAACACACCGCACGAGAGCATGTTGGCAAAGGTATGATCACACACTGCAACACCAAAAGAAACACACTGAAATCTTCTGCATAATTTGCATGTTTTTGCTGTTTGCAGGAAATTGAGGACCTTAATCGATGGGGTATGGATATTTTCAAACTAGCAGAATATTCAGGAAATCGCCCTCTGACGGTGATGATGTACTCCATCTTCCAGGTAGGAAAATCCTACTGTAAGAAATAGTTTTCTCCACGAATAGCAGAAAAGAAGGAAAATGAAAATGGTCCACATTAAGTTTAGATGCAAAAAATGAGTCAAATCATCACCTTTACGTTCATGTCTGTATTAATATTATATTAATTCAGACAGCCATATGCATATGGTTGTGTGTGCGTGTGTATGTGTTTATAAATGTGTATATACTGTGTGTATGTACATGTAGAAATATTTTCAGAATTATATCTTTAGCTTGTAAACTAGCTAAACCAGCTAGTATGGCTAGTTTAGCACTGTACATTTTTTTATTCTGTTGTTTTTCATTTCTGTTAACTCTTGTTTTGTTTTGTCCACTTTTTGCTGTAACAGCTTTAATTTCTGATAAAAGACGATCTTAACTAAAAAGACAGCTTATGCAGATAGCTGATGTTTTATCTGCTTGTCTTTCCATCGATAGGAGCGAGATCTCCTGAAAACCTTCAAGGTGCCAATCGACACCTTCCTCACCTTCATGATGACTTTAGAGGACCACTACCATGCGGACGTAGCTTATCACAACAACATCCACGCTGCTGATGTGGTGCAATCCACCCATGTTCTTCTGTCCACTCCTGCTTTAGAGGTGAGCGCTGTCGGTTTTTTTGGCCACTCTTTGCACTATGTTTTCGGGTTGAGGTATCGTTAAAATGACCCTGGTTTGGCGTCTTTCTTTATCCAAGGCGGTGTTTACAGACCTAGAGATCATGGCCGCTCTTTTTGCAAGCGCCATCCATGACGTCGACCACCCAGGTGTCACCAACCAGTTTCTCATAAACACAAGTATGTCACTCCCTGTTTCTGCAGTCAGCAGGGATAACAGATGTAATTTATTCTATGTAAATTTGTAAATTTGAGCTGTTTCTCTGTCAATGCTACATTTAGCATCGCATTCACGAGATTGATTAACAGCGCTAACACACTCCACCTGGTTCTGATTGGTTGTTTTTGGTGGATATTTTCAGATAGCAATACTAGCACATGGTAGAATGATGTTTAAAGTGCAGTTGTTGTTGGGTGGTGACAGCTTCCTCCTCCCTTCCTTGAGGTTCTGAATTGGCGCTAATGTACAACGATTCATCTGTGCTGGAGAACCATCATCTCGCTGTTGGCTTCAAGCTGCTGCAAGAGGAAAACTGTGACATCTTCCAGAACCTCAGCAAGAAACAGAAAGACTCGCTGCGGAAGATGGTGATTGACATGGTAAGGCTGGGACTCCTTTTTACCCTATCAACTCTGGAAAATAATTTCAAAGTATGGAATTTCATTAAATATGTACAGGTGCATTTAAGTATGAGAACAGAAGCAAAGAATTAGATTTAATTCCATGTTTTATTGTCTAAATATCTCCATCTGTCTATCTTTGAAGCCTGACCTCAAAAATGTCTCTTGTAAATTCAGAATTAACATTTGTTTTTTCATAAATGAAAAAAAAAGTACTAAAATTTAACTCTTGAAAAGTATGAAATCTTGACATGAAAATGGAGAAGGTCTGTTTGTCAATGTGAAATTTATATATGTCACTTTTAAAAACAGCTTGAAACTGCATCAAAGTGCTGCACATAAACGACAACACAATAGTATAAGTTGATGAAAAAAGGAAAAAAAAAAAGCAATAAGTAATAATAAGTAAATATTATTACTTATTAAAATATCACAACAGAAAAGTTGCAGTATCAGGCCTCAAGTAAATGCCAACAAATAAAAATAAGTTTCAAGAAGAATTTAAAATAATCCAAAGCCTTATAAATTATAAACTTTCAAATTCACTTTAATCAACAAAATGTCACAATAAAATTTCTTGCTTTCTCAACTGAACAAACTAATATTCATATCGATTCCATTTATTTCTTTGTTTTATTACCGTCTGTAGGCAAAACAGGCCAAATATTTGGAGCTGCAGCAACTTATAATGTCTCAGTTCCTTGTGAAGGTTTATGTTTCGTGATTAAACAGATTTAATTTGTAGTTGTTCGGGATGATTTGAGGTGTGTGTGTGCTGCTTTGCTTTGTGCAGGTGCTGGCCACAGATATGTCCAAACACATGAACTTCTTGGCAGACATGAAGACGATGGTGGAGACCAAGAAAGTGACGAGTTTGGGAGTCCTGCTGCTAGACAATTATTCTGACCGCATCCAGGTAATGAAGTGCCAAATAATATGAAATAATTCTGACATTTTCTTCTTTTTTTAAAAAAAAAAATTTTAGAAATGTTGTGTGTTTGTTATTCACAAGAAACACTGTTGTGAAAGATTGAAGCGCTTCAGCGTGTTTGCTAACTTTGGAAACATTTTCCCCTAAATTAATTTTTCCAAGTAAATTCTAAAGAACTAATTTACTTGGTTTGACATTTGGGCTAAAGTTTTGAATGTTATTGACTTAAGATTCATTTAAGTAGTTAAGATGGTTATATTCATGCTTTTATTTTGAAGTGGGTGAAGATTGCTCATGTTGCAGTTCCATTTCCTCTCTTTGCAAAATTTATTGAGAAAAGGCAAGTATACACCAAAAAACAAGTAAAGGTTGACAGAAGAACACAGCACTTTAATGAACAACCAGAACTGATAATTAAACAAATGCATAATAAATCTACATAGGTGAATTGTTTTCAAAGCATCCTCATATTCTGCTTGAGATACATGGTGGGTTTCAATATACGCCCTTTAACATTAGCAGCACTAATGTTTATGATTAGTGGTTTAGTGTATTATTAGCAGAATTTTGTGTTTTCAGTTATTTTGGCTCATAAACACAATAGAAAATATGTTGTTTCATTCAAGTATCTTCTGGCTCAGAAGAGTTTTTTGTTTTTTTTTGCTTCAGGTTTTACAGAACATGGTCCACTGTGCTGACTTAAGTAACCCAACCAAACCACTGGAGCTGTATCGGAAATGGACGGACCGCATCATGGTGGAGTTCTTCACCCAGGGAGACCGAGAGCGGGACAAGGGGATGGAGATCAGTCCTATGTGCGACAAACACAACGCCTCCATAGAGAAGAGCCAAGTAAGTCAAATCTGACCGACATTGTTGCACATCATATTGTGCAAAAGTAGCCACTTGGCTATCTGATATGTATCCGATTCAAATGTGACCTAACGACCAGGTCAACAAACGTCAGTATTCTGATGCATGCAGGTGGAAAGAATAACATCAACCATGGTAGACTATAATGAGGATTAAGTTGTTAATATTCTGTCTCTTGTTGGACAGCAACTTCAAAATCCTCCACCATAAGCATCCATGTTTACTTCCGTAAACACTGAGCACTTCTTGTTTTTATGGCGGTTGGTAAAACACTGACCACGCTCTCTATGTGTGACATTATTGCGCCCTCTAGTGTGCATGCGGGACACTTTCAGGTCGCTCTTCACACTGGAGGTCACGTACAGGTCGCATATTTTTGGATGTGTGAACAGACGCGGCAAAAAAATTTAATTTCACAAAATATCGAAATTTGGTCACTCTATGTGAACATAGAATTGGTTATTGGTTTTCTTTTGTAGTCTTCACAAGCCTTATCGCTTGGCTCTGGTTTCTCTTCAGTGTTTTTGTATTTTCCCACCCAGGTGGGGTTCATTGACTACATCGTTCACCCGCTGTGGGAGACCTGGGCCGACCTGGTGCACCCTGACGCCCAGGACATTCTGGATACGCTTGAAGACAACAGGGAGTGGTACCAGAGCATGATCCCCCGCAGCCCCTCGCCGACAAGCCCAGACGAGCCTCACGCTGAGGTGGGACTCGCAGCTGGCACTCCAGGGTCAGGAGGAGCCTTCCCGTCATCGGCAGGAGACAAATTCCAGTTTGAACTCACTTTGGAGGAGGAGGAGGAGGACGAGGAGGAGGAGGCGGAGTCTGACCTCGAGAGCCCCTTAGAGGAGGAGTCTCAGACCAGTGGAGATCGGAGACATGATTCGTCCTCTCCGTCCCTGTCTCCAGACCCCCGTGGCGGCGGCAGCAGCAGGTACCGCCCTCCCTCCCCTCACCCGTCTCGGACCCTGAGTCTGGCCTCCATGTCGGTGCGGAGCCCCCACCCTCACAGGACGCTGGGCTCCCCGGAGACTTCGGACAGGAACAGAGAGCTGAGCCAGGAGGGCGACGGCGTGCCCTGCCTGCGGATGGGAACGTAATGACCAGCAGGAGCCGACTTGCCGCAGAGACATGAGCGCTGGAGGCATCGGCAGGACGAGCCTTCGCCAGTAATGTCTGTAAAATCACCACAGTCCCTTTACACTGGAGACACCTTCTCTGAAGAGCAGAGGAACAACTCGCCTCTGTGTTTTTCTTTCTTTTTCAGCAAGATGAAATGTTTTATCCTCTGTCCGAGTGCCTGATAGGCTTTCCTGGTTTCCTGCAGCTTCAGCTGATGAATAATTGCTGCATTTAAACTGGGAAGAGTGGAATTAAGGCTTGTACTCACACAAAGGTAACAAAACCTAAAAGGAAACGTCTTCCTCCAAAATAACTGTGACATCCGAGCATGGGCGACGAATGGGGACTACAGTGGTGTGACAGGGTTTTGGAAATGATTTTGCACCATCGTTTTAATTTAGGATTTAGAATAATTAAGCTGGGATAGGTGAGTATGATTTATTTGTTTAAGAATGGCGTGTGAAATGAGTCAGTTAACCAAATACGGGATGTAGATGAGAAAATCGACCGACCTAAACCTCAGGGTATGAAGTGAAGCATAAACCTAATGTAGCACAGGTGTACTAAACCCCCCAACCCAACCCCAAATTGTGTTTCCTGTTTGTCTCATTCAGAAATGAGACTTTGTCCAAAATGTGTGTCTTTACATTTATTTAAATCCCTTTAATAGAGAATTTGGCAGATGAAGCAATCAGATATTCAAACCAGCTTGTAGCACCATGAGAACCGAACACTTTAGACTGAACTCCAGTCTCACCTGTTGAAAAGACACCAATGTACACTTAGTTTGAGCTTTATTCTATTTTTACCTTATATTTTAAATTGTTTATGTTTTGATTTCTGTACTGGTCCTCATTGTATGTTTGCTGGTCTTGTGTGTTTTTGTGCTCAAGAAAAGCATTTTTTAATCAGGGTGCCTCCAGTCCGCAGTAGCACTTTACCGACTTTACCGTTCTGCTCTTGTATTTAGTGACACAAAGGGCTTCACCCACTGTAGGCCTACTGATCACAAAACAGATCTGTACAGGACATTGGACTACAGCTCTCAGAAGACAGAGCAGGCCACAAAACTTAACATCTTATGAACGATCCCGGCTCTCCAGCAGCTTCTAAAGCAACAAGTTGAAGGTTTCTGTTATTTTAATGAGAATTAAAATGACTGTAAAACCTTCTCACTATTAAATGAAAGTACAATTTGCCATAAATCTGAGTTTATCCAATGAAACGCTGGGTCTCCTTACATCGAGGTACACAGGGTTGAAATAAATACATTTTAAGATAAGCTTTGAAAAGGAAAATTGAGTTTGGAACAAAAATGCACCTTTAAGTCTTCAAAAGATTATAAATGGCTACTTCTCCCTTAATTGGAAGATTAAATAGTGCAAAAAAATGTTTTTTCTCTTTGTTAATCCATCAAAATTAGTAATATTCACCATTTTTATTCTATAAATGCATCAGGTAACCATGTATTTTAGGTGCATTTTGTCTATAGGTCCATTTTCCAGGAACCAACCTAGATTTCATTTACTCTTCAAGAATGGAAACGTTCTGGAAGAAACATAGCAGTTATAATTAACTCTTATAAAACAGTTATCTTTTTAAGTTGTTAAAACTGTCACAATGTCCTGACAGTAGAAAATTACACAATTTGTGAAATTAGCTCCAGAAAAGCACCATCCCCCTTCAGAAACAACCAATCAGAACCAGGATGAGGATCTTAGTGGTGTCAATCATCTCATGTATGTGCTGCTCACACCCTTCCCATGTTTAGCACGTACCGTTATTCAGGCTCAAGATTGCTGGTGTGCTGCAGCTGTGCTTATGGCAGAGGAACAACCTAACTAAAACGAAAACTACATTGATTGAGCTTTTCTCAGAACTTCCTTTGCAGCTTTAAATGACTCATATTATGCACCCAAAGGGTTGATTCTACCTTCACAGTAATTTATTAGATATTTAAAACAGGAATGTTACAGAATTTATCCATGTTTTTACTCCTCAATAGAAAACAAAACAAGCACAGCTGTCATATGGAAATGCATTCAGATTCAAAAATAAGAAAATGTTTTACTTTTTTTTTTTTTTACTTAATCATCAGGACTGAAGAAATATGAATATCAAATTGTAGAATTTGCTCCAAGTTTGCCAGATGCAAAAAGCTTCACACTGAATCAGATGTTTTTTGAAATGTGGAAACAGAGGATAATAAAACTCTTTTAGACAAGAGTTTTGTATTAAAATTCCCAGGATATGTTAAAAATACCTGCAGAAATTTCAGTAACATATAAAACTGTAAACATGTAACCCTGTGAATAGTGACATAACTTTACAACATGCCCTCCTCTTCAGGCTGTTGCATCCAGAGCGTCACTGCGGCTGATCTTTGGTTGTGGTTGAGCTGGTTAAGCTCACACACTGCCCTCTCTGTGCCTCTGAAGTGGAACAAAGTGTGTTTGGTTTGGTAATAACAGCTTTCTTTATTCATAAAAATCCCACTAAAGAAATCAAAACTTCAGTTAACCAGCGACCACTGACAACACAAAATCTGCACCAACATAAACTTAAGAACTTCTTGTGGTTTTCGGCTTGTTGTTATTTTTATTATTTAAGAGCTCCAGCTGTTGAAATAACTTAAGTTAAATGTTATATTTTTATTTCATGTTTTTTTTATAACTCTTCACTTTTTGTTTTTGGTTAAGAAGCTGTACTTAAATGCAGTATAATGAACAAATACTATGAATCAACAGAAAGGATCTTAGTCCAACATGTAATTATTGTTTTTTACCACAGCACACAGTATAGAGAAAACTGTACATTTCCTTAATTATTACACAGACGTTGCTTGCGTCATTTGTTAGACTTTTATTTTGAAAGTTTATAAATAGCTTTAGCATAACTGCCATGTAGGTCAGAAACCATAAGTAACAAATTACAGAAATTAGAAGCAAATTAGTTTTGTTCTTTATTCAAGTTTTGTTGTCATTATTTGGGAATCTGACCAGCTTTGGCTTTGAAATTATAATTTCTGAAACAAACAAGAAACTACAAGTAAGTTATCCCTGGTTGGTGGAGGTTGTCTTAAATAGTTAAACTTGTTTTTTCAATAACAATGCTGATTGTCAGACTTGGCCCCAGAATGCATTGAACTGGGATGTGACGATATTTCCAGATCCCATCTTCAAACCAAACGTAGCCTGATTTTAGGAATGTTTTTGAATGAAAATATTTGTTTTTAATGAACTGACCTCTTGAAACCTTTTAAAAAACACTATGCTCTACCTGAATGATGCCAAGGTCAAGTAAAGCGATGAGGATTTTTCTGAACAGATGGGATTTAATTGGATTATTAAAAATGCAACAATACGTTAGTACCAAAATTCGAAACATGAAGCTGGAACTCACTTTTGGATTCAAGGTAAACCAAAATAAAAAAGTAATCTTATTTATTAGCATAAAGAAAATAAAGGAGTGGAAACACCCAAACCAAACACAACTCAGACATCAGCCACTGGTTAAAGTTTGCTGTCTAACTTTACCCGTTTGTACTTTTCTCGCATTACCAATAAAGATGTCACAGACAGAAGAACGCTTTCCTCCCACCGTGCCAACAGGGGCTGCTGTAGAGCTGAGACCTGCAACACCAGTTCGAGAAGGTTGGGACTTTGTGTAAAATGTAAATAAAAACTGCATAAAATATGTTATAAACCCATATTTTACTCACAATGGAATGAACCTCCCTTTTAACTTTATAAACATTTTTTAAATTTCTATTTTGAGGCCAAAGGACAATTTTATTCAGATTTTGGGAGTCTTTTAATTATTTGATGAATGATCGATTATGTTCCGTATTCAAAGTTCTGCATTGGGGAAAATTTTCTGAAATTTTTCCACCATAGTGAGATTCAGCTTCTTTTTATACCCAATTTTATTCCTAATCTATTGACAACAGATCTTGGCAGCGGCAAAATGCTCCTCCAGCAGCTTAGTATTTCAACCCCTTGCCTCTGAAACCTTTTCTTTAGTATGTCCTTTTTTTGAAATACCACCAAATTTTATTTTTTTTCCTCGAAAGGTTATTTTAATTTCTTAATTTTTACTTTTATCTTTACTGTTTTTTATGAATCCAGGTGCATCTCATCAATCATTATGATAATTTTTGAAAGTGAAAACTTATATGGATTCATTACACAGTGAGTGTTATATTTATTTGTCTTAGGTTAGTTAATCATAACTAGTAGATAATAACAAACCAAAATTTACCTTTTTTGAACTTTTGAATGTCACATAAGTCAAAAAAGATTTTTCAAATGGAAATGTTTTGGCATATCATACAAAATCACAAGAAAAACTGATCAGAAGATTAAGCCACCTGTATTCAAACATGAAAAGTTCAGTGGAAGGAAAAACTGGGGTAGAGATACAAACTTAACATTACCTGCAACAATGACTTTATTATGTCTCCCTGTATGCAATGAATCAACATAATACCTTAGTTTAATTTGCCGAGATGCACCTGTATTATATGGGTTTATCTTTATATTTCAGACTTTTTACGTTATATACGGTGTCCCAACTCTTACGGAACTGGAGTCGCACATTGATTGGCGTTCAAACAAAGCAGGTTGTGTCCCGTCAGGTTAGGAGCCTCAGCCTGCTCGACTGGGAAGAAAAGCGTGCCACAAGTGTTGAAAACACACAAAACACCTGCCAGCCTACAAAGCTGTACATTTTTACACTAGAGATTTTAAACTGATGATTGTATCAAAGTCATTAACTTTATAAGTGTTAGTTTTTACCATTGAAACATGTTGACAGTATTTAAAGCAGGCGTTTTCATCGGTTTCTGTGCAGCGTAGAGAGCAGCCCTTTGCTAACCCCGATAGCTGAGAATGTTTGTAGTTTCATGACTTCATCTCTTTCTATACCAAGTATGTTTTGGAGTCTAGAACGCGTAGAGAGACCAGGCAGTTAGCGAGCACTACAAAAGATAATTTGCTTCCTGGTTAGGCAGTTGTAGGGAAAACAATAGTCTTAATAGTATTTTTTCTTTTTAGGTAGTAAGCTTTATCGATCGGCCTTACATGTGATAGGTTTGAGCCTCGTGTTAAAGGACTATTGTGCTGTTTTTTGTTTTGTTGGATGCTGACCTTCAAATTGTTTGTTTTTCATCCCTAAAGAAATCAGACTGGGCTTAAACTAGAAAAAAAATTTTTTAGCTGCATTTGTAGCCGTTAACCTTCTATCATCCTGACAAAAATAAAAAATGTTTTAATTTCTAATGTCGTAATAAATACCCTTCACATGATGAAAATGCCATCTATGTACTATAATAATTTCTACCTTTTGCATTTTGATTCTGACATGCTGAAAAAATGAGGATCTCCTGGCATTTTGTGGACCAGTCCAAAAAACTTCAAATTGTTAATTTTTATCTCTTTAAAGTTTTTTTTACTTGTTAAAAATTTTGGTTTCCAAAGAGTAAAAGGTCCCAAAAAGTGAAACTCTGATCGTCTACATTGCGTCATCTAAGCTCATGGGATATGGATCAAGAGAACGAGATCCTGGATACAAATGACGGAAATGAGCGTCCGTTGCTAGATATTTTGAAAAATAAAATACATTTTAAAAATTCACTTTTCTATTAGCAATTTTTAATTCAAGATCTTTTGAAAAATGATCAAAATTATGATTGATAACTTTACAATAACACAAAGGACATTTTTTACCATTCATTTAGTCTTTGTAAAAAAAGAAAAACTCACTGAGCTTCAAGTATTTTTCTTCCTATTGCAGAAAAGCTTTTGGAAAATTATGCATTCGTGGCATTTTCGTCGTGGATTCTTTAAAACTTGTGTTTTTTAGACCCGCATCTCCCAGTCTGAGGCGTCAGCTTGTTGAATTCAACACCATGGCTCAACACAGGACAGACAATAGCGCCTCTTAGTGTTAAGTGTGTTAGTTGGCAGGAGAGTTCTTGCTTTCATTTAATAATGCTGATACTGCCTTCATTCTTGTTCATGCAGTCTCTCGGTTTCAGTGTCGTGCAAATGTCTAAAGATATATTTATTCTTTAAATGTGTCAAGAACAAGTACTGTAAGACAATGACTGATTTTATGTTCCAGAGCCTAAAAACAAGTATGCTTTACTTGTATGTACTCGTCTGCCACTCCAATGTTTGTTTTTGTCAGAAATTTTTATTTTGCTTTTGAAGCCAAAAGATTCTTGGGAGTTCAGGGTGTTTTATGTGAAAAATGCCAATAAATTAAATGGAAATTTATAAACTTTGTTTTTAGTTTCTTTGAGACTGGATTATGTTCCTTGAGAGAAAAAGATTTAATCTGGTTTAGAGTGAAGAATTTTATTAGCATTTAAAGATGGAGTCTTCAAAAAGATTTTTCTTTGCCTTTCTAAAATATTTTAGTTGACTTTACCCATAATGCCATCACTTGGTCTTTTGAGGGACATAGGCCACCAAGAGCCCCTTCCACAAGTTGCCAGGTTCTCCATGCAGCAGATTTCCCACCCCCCCCATTTGCTAAACTTGTTCTTTTGGCTTAGAGCTAGGTAGCTACAACCCAGTCAAACTTTGCCTCTGTTTAGGCAATTTGTTAGATTGGAGTCTAAGTGCATCACTAGATCACTTAATCATTTATTATCAAACTTCAGTTAGAGGTTTGTGATGCAACAAAAAGTCTGGGGTTGTCATTTTGCCAGTCAGCAAAACAGAAACAAAGTACATTGACATATTTTATTATCTTTTAGTCATGGCAGACATGTTTCAGTGAATTCATTCTGTTGGGCAGCCGCTTCTGCTCAGTTTAACAGAGGCACCGGTGCAGGCTGGAGGCTTCACTCCCTGTAGGTGATTAAAACAGTAACACCACCACATTAGAGTCAACTTTTCAGTGGGGAAAGGGAAAAAGAAAACGTAGTTCTCACCTTATAGCGATCACAGATCAGATGAAACAGTGAGGATGTAGTCTTTGCTTCAGTTTCTTCTGTGTACTCCTGCAACGTGATAAGGCATTTATAAAAATAAAAACCTTCAAAGTCACAAAACTAGTCAAGAGTCTGACACAGGAACAGTTTCACTCGACCAGCCATGTTTTACCCCATCAATCGTGACCCAAGGAACGTGTGTGTGGGCCGGGTTCAGAGCTCTGGTCATGACGGCATAACCATGCATCAGCTTGTAACCCAGACGTCCAGTCACGCATGCATCAACAGCGGCCCAGGATACGGAGGGAGCATACAGCTGGAGACACTTTAAAAGATGAACAGTTAGCATCAAGCTACCAGACATAAAACACAAGTTAAACACTCACAGGCTCTGCAGCATTCAGGACATTTGCAGCAGACTCCATGCAGTAGATGATTTGAAATGCCAGTGAAGTTCCAGTCAAATGGATGATGCAGGCCTGCAGGAGGAGGAAGACAGATTAAGGAAGTATGTGCATAAATGTTGAACCAGTTCAGTGCAGGAGTTTTTTTTTCCAAACCTGAATCATGTTTCCTCTGCATTCAGGCTCTCCATGTTGACAGGTGAAGGGACGGTTAACAGATAAAACTTCCTGAAGAAGAAGAATTGCATTGAAACAGTCGAGATGTTTTAAACATGGCCTAAATATTATTGTATGATTTATACCTTGGCATTCCCATAAGGAACGAGTGTGAGGGACATGATGTCCTGCAGCATTGTCCAGGTGGGGAACAGCTGCTTGGTGATGAAGTGTCTGCAGTCTGGACACAGGCTCTCATAGTACAGCGTGAGGGCGACCCGAGGAACCGTCTGGTTTGGCTTAATGGCACCAAGCTCCATGCATTGCTTCTGGACCTAGAAACAAAAGGAGCAAACCAGGGTACAATCAGAGTCATTTCCTTGGACCAAGTTTGGGTTGTTTGACCCAGAGCTGTGCTGCCTGGTCACATGAAGAGCCACTGGTTCCCAATTTCTGAAGCATGACTTTCATTTTAAATTAGACCACAGGACACAAGATCACTGTAAACAAACCTTAAGGGCTCACAGAAATAAAATCCCAAACAGACATTTAAGAGGCTAAATATACAGAATATATTGATAGTCTGCAGAAAACTTGCATCCCCACCAGGCAATTACAAAAACCTTAGCATTTAAATACACTTTGCATATTAATATCTTTGCATTTAAGTCATTTTTGCCTCTTTCAACATTTTACTTTGAAATATCTCAGTTTACAAATTAAACAAAGCCAAAGCTCTCACCTTGCATTCTATGGCGATCTCCAGAGACCGACACCACTGAGATGGAGGGTAACGACACGCCGGTTTGGGGTGAGAAAGCTCAAAACTTTGATGTTTGGTAGAGATCAGAAAAAGCACAGCAAGGATGCAGAAAACTTTCATGATTCTTAGGAGGAAAAATATCCACACAGCTCCAAGACAGACAGCCAGAGAAGACTGAGGGAACCCCTCCTCCTCAGAGCTTCTTAAAGTCATCACCATCATCATCATCAGCTGATGAACACCAGGTGTTGCAGATCCAACCCACATTCCTGAGTCTAACTAGGGCAATAATCCACTTGGTAAATAAATCAGGCTTTTTCAGTAAATTGTGAAAGTGTTTATACAATCATGACAGTAAATCTTGCCACTAATCTTGAAATGGTTCTCACAGCAATTTTCTCTGTAAGATTTTGGAGATGTGAATTGAAAATTAAATAAAATAGGAATCATGATGAATTTCTGTTAAAATGACAAATATCGTCTCCTCTGGAGAATCAAGAAATTCATGGGGCAACCCTGACCATCCTCTTCATGAGATTTTATTTGAAAAACAATGTCTTTAATCATGGGCTTCTTCAAATTCTCTCATACAGTTCGCTGCAGGAGATATGTCCCACCAATAGACATCTCCATCAGCAATATTTTCCTGAATAATTCCAACTAATACGAGTTAAAACATTTAATTTACATTTGTGGCGTCTACCTATACCGCCACCTACAGTACTGGAGGATGTAGGACAGACTTTCCATCAGCGAATTGATTACGCCTGTTAGCTTAGCGGTTGTTGCCCCGACCAGCTGTTTTTGGACGAAGGATGGCTTCCCTTTTTGCTTCCAGTGTTTTATTTATTTATTTAAATATGTGATAACTTCAGCAATGAGCCAGCGTCCATATTAGCCACAGCTCAGCTGGTGTTTGAAGGTAGGAATCTATCACACCCGTTAGCATGTTGTGCTAATATGTTAGCAAACAGGCTGTTTTACTTTCTGAGCTCGTATTTAGATATATTTCGACTGGTGGAAGTCAGGAGATTTTTTTTTTTTTTTCAGTTTTAAACGTTGTGTGTTAGGAAGCAGCAGGTAGCTGGAGTGCGTCTTTGGAAAAGCAGGGGCGGTTCTAGGATGAACTGAAGGTGTCCCTTCTGCAGAAAGCCTGAGGAACATGGCGGATGGCCTATCCAAAAAAAGGTAACTATAATATTTTGTTAGACTGTCCTGAGCCCACATTCCTGTGGCGTTGCTTTCATAGACTTCATTATTGTTATATATTTAATCTCACAAGTATATTTTTTACAAATGGATGACAATTTCTCTTTTTAATATCTTTAATTTCCCTCTGCTTCAGCATCATTAATAAACGATATTTGTGGTTGTAGTCAGAAAGTGTTATTAATGGCTTTTAAACAAAACAGCTGCTCATTAAATCATTTCAAATTTATTTGAGAACTGAAAGTGCATACTTCAACATAATTTTCTCAGTCGGGTAAAGTCAGGTTTTACACCAACAGAATAGTTAAAATCCAGTTTTTCAGGTAGGACCTTTTCTAAAGAAAAAAATTAGATGTGTGACATTGCATAATTAATACAGAAAATAAACATTTACAGTAACAAGATTGCTTTCAAAACTTTTTGATCAATTCTGTTGTTCTCAGAATCAAACAAGAGACAATTTTAGTCGTCCACAAAGGAAAGGAAAATAACAAAGTCACAGAAACATCATCCTGACAGTATTTTAATATGATTCAGAAACTAAAAAGGCGATTAAACCATAAACACCGATCAGAGATCCTAGATAATGAACATTTTGCTAAGCTAATGACATTTTCATCAAATTAAAATAACACCATTAAAAGGGGCGGGGGACACAAATACAAGAAAACATCTCATCATGGCATGGAAGAAAATTTTGAATCCAAAGCCAAAAAAATTATTAAGACACGAAAGATGAGTCTTCCGATTAATTTTATTCTCAAAATTAATTTCTATATTTAATCCCACCCAAACGCTTACCATCCAACACTTGCCTGTAACTCTGGATAAGATTTGATCTCTGACCTTTGACTAACGTGACATTTCTGCTTAGCAACCAAGAAACAAAAAAATTTAATTGATTCAAATTCTTCCAAGATTTTGTAAAGGAAGTTCTGCGCAGCCACCGATATCCCTGTTTCTCCTCCGACTTTTTCCTTCCACTCAATTTTCCATTTATTGTGCCATATAGAGTGCTGTGAGTAATCTTGACCTTTTGAGAATTTCCCTCCAAATGTCAAGTCAGTAAATTTGAGAGAAAGGAAAAATGTGGTAGGTCTAAAAACAGCAGGACATGGACATGCTTTTCAAAAGACTAACATTTTTGTGTTCGATTATATTGTTTCACATTTTTTTTGTAGTGTAATTGAAATTTGCTGTGAACCTTAAGAATCCAAATGAACAGAAATAAACACTTGAAATTTGTTTATTTCAAGTTTACAATGACTAAGTACTGAAAGTAACTATTTGAAGTTATTGTAATTTGACATATTATTTTCACAAGTTAGAAATTGAAATCAGAAAAATTTTAGTTGTCTCTAAGTTACAAACATATTCCATTCTTCTACTTTATATCAACATCTTTTTATCTGCTAAAGCCATTCTGTTTTCCATACACTGCAAAAATAACTTCATCGGAAGTGTTAAGATATTCAAATTTGCATTAGCTGCATGGAAACAACCACAATAAAAACACTTACTGTTCCACTTACAGCATTCTGTCTCTCTGTTCTGTAATAACAAGCCTCTCAAGGCATCCTTTAAACAAAAATATTGACCTAACTGCAGAGAAAACCAACTGTTTTCTAAATTTTATTGCAGCTAATGGATTTATTCTTCCATGCCACAAGTCCTTAACATCTTGCACCATTGAATTCAGTCACTCAGGAACAAAAACAAAAACTACTAATTACAAGAAGTAGACTTTAGATGATTGCCAAACTGAATAGCAGAAGTTTAGAAAATAAATAAATAAATAAACATCCCAATAAGTTCAGCTTTATTTTTGTTGCTGCACATCTGCCACAACAGCTGTAACATCCAATTGGTTAAAAAGATGTTTGGTACCATGAAATATAAATTGGTGCTTAATTTCTCCCTGCATCTTTTCTCTTTTCAAAATATTCTTTTTTTTTTTTTAAATATTCTGTTTGCACAGTGATAAAACATTACATATACAGAAAGCAACAATGACACAGAAAAATACCAATTTGTGCACAAAACTCTCCAACTTTACAGAAAATATCAATTATATTTCAGTAGTCATCTAGATATAGATGCTACTTACTTTTTTATGGTGCTACTACACATTAATCTCATTTGCAACTTTTTTCCCATAGATATATACAACTATGACGAGTCTACCTGTCTCTGAAACAGGGTTGGTGTACATGAGGAAAGTTAAAGTATCTGTAACTACTTAAAGATACTTCTGTGCAAATGCTATGCTTTATTCAAACCCCACAGAGCGGTGGTCATGCCTGCTTCTGTCCACATACAACCCGTATATTAATTCATTAAATGTTTTTGTACTTGTGCAACAAAATCAACAGATATTCAGCCTTTCTGTAAATAAATAACTTAAACATTTATGTTTAAAGCTGCAGAGATAATCTATCGCTCGGCTTGTTTAATCTGCCTAAAGTATAAAATACACAACATGACTTAGAAAGGGCAGACATCTTCTTTTTTTTTTTTACTTTCATACAAGTTTTCGTCTCACTCTGTTGTGGTGGTTTGCTCAAAACCTGTGCATTGCAAGACTTCACATTTTAATACTGTGCAACACTAACGAACTGATGTGGTAGCAGGCACACTTAACGTTAAACGTGAGCGAGCTACTCTATATTGTGTTGTTTAAAATGGAAAAACTACAACAAATCATGGCAATCACAAATCGCACAAATAAAGGAAAACATTTTACATAATTTTGAGGTAAAAAGCAAAGAAAATGTCTTACCTAGCTGGTGGTAAAATTGTAGAAGTAAAACAGTACCCAGCCTAACATATTAAATGCATTGTAACAAGATCATGCAACTTATAATTTCTTTTTTTTTCTTCTTTTCTTTATTAATGACCAGAAAAGCTAAAATCTGTCCAACTCACTTCACGGCAGGTAACAGTCTAACAGAACTGACAACATCAAGTGACGTACTGACAATCAAGCACATGGTGGACCGTTAAGAGAGAAATGCATTAAAAGTGACCCATCATAATAGATAAGAATTATTTATTAGCCTTTTACAAATATTATGTGCGCCTAAATATTAATATCTTTAATGTGCAATACTGGTCATTGTTTTTATTTTTATTTTTTTTTCAAACAATACATCATCACCACTCTCAGTCCAAAGTTCCTGGGTGGAAGACCAGTTTCCCCCAGAATTGACTATTCCTGGATAGCTTTAAAATGTAAACAATTTATATTGAAATGCCAATAATTATAAAAGAAAACAAGCTTGGAAATGTTGAACTAAGAATCTCCTAACTTAGACACAGTGTTTTATCTTTTTTTTGAGTTTTACCTCAAACTGAGGTAGTAACTATTTTAAAGCTTTTAGAGGTAATACTTGCTTCGTTCTATGGATCACATCACAGTACTTCTGGATTATCATTAACTTTTGTATGTATGCAGAGCCATAATGGATGCATCTTTCACTATTTAACATATTAGGATGTAAACAATTTAATAGAGTTCTACATATGTAGCTAAGGAAAAGACTGATGACCTCTAATAATACAAAAATAAAAATCCTTACATAAAATTTAACTTTTATTTAAATGCTATAAGTTCACACTGAAAATGTGAGAATTATTCTTTTGAGTGGGAGGAATAATATTGTTATAAAATATGTTTGTTCTTCATAAAGTCACCGTTTCCACACTTACTAGTACATATAAAACTCCTTCGAAATAAATATAAACAAACCATCGTTAGATTGGTTTGTTTATATTATGCTTCAAACCTTTAAATTTCCTCAGAGCCTCTCTGAGTTTGAATATTTCGCAATGTCATTATTCCTAAGATTATAATTCAAACACAAGCCCATGATTATTCATGCAATTCAAGTAAAGCAGATATGTGTTGATCTTCACAAAAAGCAGGTATTGGAGATCAGCCACACAAATTACTGATCTCTAAACTGGAATTGTGACAAACAGGGCTGGAGAAAGACAATCACACAGTGACACTGAGACCATGAAATAGCTTGAGATTATGCTACTGCAATAAAAGTGCATTTCTAACAGGAGCACCAATAATGTGACACTGAATAATTGACTTAAAACAGGTGCCCTCTGTTTGTGACTGGATGGTTTCTTCTCCGCTCAGTAAAGTGTTTAGCGGGTCATCTCTTCTGATCTGAGTTTGTCAACTTAACTTCTTTCATAATTTTCAGTCATTGTTTATGTTTTTATTTACCATAACTGATACATGTCTCATACGTATCAGTAACATGAAAGTTGGATGAAATGTCACATGACCGTTCAGACTGCAATTGAAAACAGTGGAGAAGGATTCCAATTAGTACCAAATAGGGAAGTGGCACAAACTAGATTTTATTTTTTATTTTTTCCATCTGGGGGCGGTGGTGAAAGATCGGAATTGGGCTGATCAGACCGCAATGAAAGTCAGATGTAAGTCGCAAATGGGCAAAAAGATCTGATTTGATTATTGTGTGAACATGGTTTAAAGGTGTTTATATTTATTGGAAACGTTACTTTAAGAAATGTAAACACAGCAAAATTTAAACTGAAATTCAGTTGGTGGACTATTAGAAACTTACATTGCAAGATTTCCCCCAGAAAACTTGCTAAGCCCTGTGTTTTTGAGCTAAAAATATTTTAAGGTTGACAAGAAATGTGAAAAACCTGAACACCAACTATAAAGTCTTAAAAAATGCAAACATTTTAAAAAGACTTGAATAAATAAGCAATGCTAAGTCTGGTGGGTACACATGTAAATCCTGGTGGGCCGCCACGCTTACAATACACTGGGGGAAACCCTGCATTGCAATTTCAGTAGTGAATATGGAAGTCACTATGTAGTTTTAGGTTTCCCTAAAACTACATAGATGTTAGTAGTGCTATGTGGATCATCTCCACATTTTATTTATGTGCTAAATTAGTTTTAACCTAAAACGTCAGTGATACCCTTTCTGTGCAGTTTCTCTGACGTTTATGTTAATGGGTCTGTGCTATGGGTTGTCCTAAAAATTGTACTGCTAAATTGGAGCCAAAGCCTTCTTCTGATTGATCGTCATGGATGTTTATGAAATCATATCCAACCAGACAAAACCTACTGATTTCATCAACCGTTGTCTGTTGTAAGGTGAATATTGTAGCTGGCGTAAAACTCTTAAAGGCACCTTTCAACTATTATTTAGATTTGTAAACCAGCTGTTTTAGCCTTTTGTAATGTCATCCATAATATAATCAACAAACTTAACAGAAAATCTTTTGTTCAAATCCGTGGAAAATAAAATAAAAAGTTAAGAGTATTAATCTACACCAGAGTGATTACTCGTTTTATTTAAACAATAGATTGTTGTTCGGCCTTTGTCTCTCATAATCTACTGTCAAATGAGACATATTATGAAATGGAAAAATGTAATTTATGTTGAATAAAGCAAGATGTTTCGCTAGCCAAGAGCAGCAAAAAGGAGCCGTCTTGGAGAACCTATTCCTTTTTGTTGTTTTTTTTCTGGATAAAGTGCTTGAGTGTCTCCCCAGTCCCTGCAGTACCCTTCATGTTTGCAGAGTCCCTTCCTGAGCTTAGTTTCCCTTGGAGCACCTTTAACACTCCTTTGTCCCTGAATAAACGTGTTTGATTGCATGGAAGACATGTCTTTCTACAGAGAGATTAAACGTGTGGGGATTAACCTTTGAGTACCATAGTTTTGAAATTAATATGATCCTCAGGATAGAGTAATTTTTTCTGGAAATATTAGCATTTAGCATCCCTGTAAGTCTTTGGGATGAAATTGTTTGGAAAAAAATCAGTATTTCTATAAGTGAACTACTCCACTTCATGTTACTCAGACAGAAGATCAAATCTATCAATGAAGAGCAAAAACAGGCAGCCGACCTACAGTCACAGGAAAGAACAATCAGAAGACACGCCATAATTCAATAGCAGCCAACAATGTAAAGTAATTGTCTAGATTGAATTTTTCAACACCTTTCACACCAGGCTTGTTAGTCACTTTAATCAAACTTGAGTTTGTTTGGGGAGGTGTGACTGTTCAATCAACCTCTGATGGGGACCAAAATGTCAAAGTCTCTGTTACATTGAAGTGAATTCTGATGCAGTTTCAGTGAAAGTGTGAATGCCAAGCAAACCGCTTGCCGCTCCAAAATCAAGAAACCTACTACAGCGTAGGGCATTCTGGGTACAACCAAAAACAAATTCACGTTTCTAGCACTTGCAGGAGACAAAGCTCACAATCTTTTACCAAAGACAAAAGAGAAATCCTACAACAGCTAAAATGCTACTCCATTTCTGTTTACCTTTCGTGAAGAAGGACGTTTCGCTCAGTGTCTTCTTCAAAGGTTTTTGTGTTGTTTCCTTCAGTGGTTCTTGGTGCCACCACAGGTGAAGGGGGGAACGAGTTTTTCAACTGCTTTGGGTTGCTTGACACCTTCAGGGTGAAAGCAAATTTGGTTCCCAATCAAATCGGGTCCACTGGACTATCAGGTGTGAAATTTGCTATGGTAGAAATTTGGTTTGTGGTTTACTCTAACATACAAATATTAGGGTCAAATAAATGAGTCTATAACTAGGGAAAAAAAACCAGAATCATCTCTGTCTATCGCCATGCATCACAGTTGAGATTAGGATGTCTGTGCATCAAATTGAAACTTCTCCAATTTGGTCCCATCTGACCAAACAACATTGATTGTTCCTTAAGTCCTTGTAGTTCATCCACATGCAACTTTGCAAGCCCTAATTAAGCAATATTCTTTTCATGCATCAAGAATTTATCCTCCATACTTGTCTAGTCTTTTCTAATTGTTCAAACTTTTTCCAAGTTTGATGGAAACCTAAAAAATTGCTTCTCGAAGGTCATGATGTCTTTCAACATTGGCATTGTGTTAAAACACCCCAGTTTATTCCAACCCATCCCTGTTCTGCCATCTCTGTGATCGTTACACTTGCTGATGTGAGAAGCAATTAATCATGTGCCTTTGATTAGCAGCAAGGCTGCATTTTTTTCCCCATGACTGTACAACCATCTGCTTCAACTGTTTCAGCAAAAATGGTTTTATTAATACGGTTTTGTTCCTCTAAATTTTACAAATGTATGCATTATTGTTGGATGAGTTTATGTGTGAATAAAAAGTGGTTTAGACAACAAATACGATCAATCGAAAAAATTAATTGGAACAGCTAAGGTTGGATTTTATAGCAACATGATAAACTGGTGTCATTTTTATTAGATCTGCTCTGGATCGCTTGAACTGAACATCTTAAAGTGTACTAGCGTGTGAGTTTTAGGGCTGCAGACAGTCTGACATAATCAAAGCTGAAGTTGCTTCAAATCTGTATTATGAGCTGAATGCTGCTCATTCTAGTATTTTATGTGAAAACATACCAGTTAGTTATTCTGGCTGTGAATCACTAACATGATCTTTGTTTTCATCTGTGTCTCCATATGGGTGAGTCCTCTGTGCTAATGCTGTGAAACTTTGGGAATCAGGACAGCGTGCTGGTGCGTCTCAGCTGGACTGCTGACTGAAAGCGGGCCAGGCCAGGGTTACATTCAGCTGCTGGTTGTGTTGGATCAGTGATGTGTGGCGGTAGTGGAGGACAAGCTCCCTCAGTGACGAGTACAAGTTGTAGGGCTCGGCGAAGCCGTAACCTGTAGACGTCCTGTAGATCACACAGTGTTTGACGTCTCCGTCCACGCTGCAGGAGGGAACATGGGTCACTTTTTGTTTTAATTTCTGACTTTTAAAACAAAATATGCATGAAGTAAAGAAATAAAAGTAAATCAAGATGCATAGTGGTTATTAGAGTGCAGGCCAATGTTGATCAGCTTCTTTTGTGCAGCAATGGAGGATAAGAAAAGTCCATGATGCCCTGTCACCTTAAAACATTTATTTATGTCACTAGGAGTAAAGATCAGGTAGCGATTCTGAAAATATAAGCAATGAAAAATACAAAAATCAGCAAGGATCTTTCAGTCATGACACAATGGCTACACCAGGGGGTGCATCCCACACTTTTAAGAGTCCCTGGTCTATGGTAATATAGACCGTTTCAGGAAAAGTTAGCCAGTGCAAATCTTTTTTTTTTACTTATGACAAATTTGAAACAAGGAGATGTGAAGATACTCACACAACAGAGCAAGCAAAGGATCCCCTCTGAGTCTGGCTGTCCCTGATCAAGAATGTCCCATCCCGCCTTCCTTTCAGCAGCTCCTCCGCCTCTCTTCGTCTCATACCTCCAACATACCAACTCCTCTCCTCCTCATGGGTGTCGTCTTCAAGGGTGTAAGGGCTTGAATGAAGGCAGGTTAAATCAGCTGAATTATTTTGTGACTCCTCATTGTCTATTACAGTATTTGGTCATTCAAAAATGACATTCATTTTGAAAACTTGAAAACTTTTTCCCTGCAAAAGTTTTCAAGGGCTGATATCCAACACAACTGAACCTAATGAATGCTTAATTCATAGGCCTCTTTGCATACGTTAATGTAGGGCAAGGCACTAAATCAATTGTATATATTGCGATAGATGTGATCAATATCAATAATTTCATTGAACACCAATGCAGAACTGCACAGCATTCTGGGAGATGTAAGCAGAGGAAAGATTGGTGGCATCAACTCACTCAACCTAGCAACAACTTGTTGAGTAACTTTAAGGTTTCTCCACTTTGCCTCATAAATGCTTGAAGATAATAATAAAAAACAGCATGGAGCAAAAACTGGATAAGACGTGAAAGGTCATGCCATCAGTTTAGTAGTACTTCAGTTGTTTAAATAAAAAACAACTGAAGTTGTCCAGTTTTGCTTTTATGACATATTGAGGATGTAAATCAGTAACTTGAGCCAGATGTGTTGGAGCAAAATCTAAAATATTCAAGACATCAGCCGTCAGAAACTGGAGTTACACATCCTTATGTTAGCTATGACGCAATAAAAACTTTTTTTTAGAACTTCAAAGTTGTGTTAAAAGATCAAGAAAAGGATACTTACTCCTCTTCATCAGCTCTAACACCCAACCAGTTGTTAATTTGACTCTGTCTCATGCCTTGCTGGGTCAGCCATCTGAAACAGTAGCAAAGCCAGGTCAGAAAGATTCACTTTGTATTTGATTTTTTTAAACTAAATTGTCAAAATTTGATTAAATAATTACTCGGTTAGATTTTCTGTGCTGACTTTCATACATAATACATAAAATCAGGCTCTTTGATAGCAGTATCTGTGGTGCCAATACTTACAGAAGGTATTGATCTCTGATTTTTCTGAGCTGTACAAGATCAGGCTTCAGTCTAGTAATTTTCCTGTCGACCTCCAAGTGAGCCAGTGCTTTTGTCCTCAGTTCTTCCTCCAACATCTTCTTGCTGTTGTGGATCTCCTCCACCCTGGACTGCAGTTCATCAGAGTTGTTTTGAATTCTGCTGCCAAAGAAGCAACCAGGGTGACTATTTATTATTAGCTGTAGAAACATGGGAATGAATTGACTTCAGTATAACCTACTTGTCATTTTTTGTGCTGCTGTCTAATGTGAGGAACATGTCGATGTATTCCTTGCTGTAGCGCTCCTGGGTTTCACACTCCTCCTCAAAGATCCGAATAATTTCACTGAAAGCCTCAATGGCCGTTCGCTTGCTCTGGAGCTCCTGTAAATGAGGGAAATAAGAGCTTAGATCCCCAATCTGCTGTTTTATAAATGCAATATTTGAATAGAGGTAGGACAGTACACAAAAGTCTGTTTGTGTATCAGGAATAGTAAGGTACACTTTATTATGTTGTAAGAGCTTAGAACTTAAATGGACATTAGTATTTCAGTTAATATAGCAGTATAAACAGGCACAGCTTAATTATAGCTAGTTTTTGTGTAAATCTTAAAGTTACAAATTTGGTTCCGCACATGAACATATTCTGGTTAAAAATGCTGTGGTACTTGTTCAGGAATACCACCATGCCATAGTATTTAGCAGAAGCGAACGCCAAAGTTCTAACGTCAATCCAAATATCTGCCCCGAAAAGACTACATCCCTCAAGCACCAATTTAATTTTGGCATATTTTACACGTCCTGTAATGTCTTTAGATATTGCATTTATATTTTCATGTTCTCTTGTTTTATTTTGTACCTGTGTGTTTCATGTTTGACATTATGCTTGGCGTGCTAAATGTTTTCAAAGCTAGCTAAAACACCAAATGGAAAAATTAACTCTGCTTTTAGCAGCTTAGCAAAAGTTTATTTTTTACCTTAAAATAATCAGTGACGATGTAGTAACTCTGGCTATTTATAAATGTTGTGTTGGTACCTGTGAGGTTTGGTTCAGCTCCTTAAATAGATGGTCATACTCTTGACTTTTCTCCTTGTATTGATCCTGAAATATCCTCAGCTGTTCTCCGATTGCTGCAATATCTATCTCCATCACATGGTGCTAAGAGAAAAGAATATAAAATCACTCAGGAGTGTTGTGATGGGTTGTTTCAAATTTTCATATTCATTTTTCCCTGTTTCTCTTCCCAGGAATAGTCAACACTTACTTGATAGTATCTGGAAACCGGGTAAAGTAACTTGATATCCAGCTTAGAGTTGTACTGGGCTAGTGGTTTCTTCTGGTAGAACTGGATCAGGTCAACCAGTGAGGGAAAAGTCAGTGGCTCAGAAAAGCCGCACTTCCCCCCTTGATGGAAGATTTTTATTAGTCGGTTGTACCCATCTTTTCTGCAAAAGTCAAAAATGGACAGTCACATCTCTTCATGTTTAGTCGTTTGTTTTTTTTATCCAATGTTTATTTTCTCTTTAAGAATTCTTCAGAAGATACAACAGCCGTCAAAAAAAGTTTTTATCAAACTACCTACCATAAAAAGTTACGTTTGTCTTTCTGTATTTTTAATTTTTATAATTTGTCCCTATGCCAGAAAGCATCAGTAAGTGCTCCCTTTTTACAAATTGAGCAAAAATAAAATTTTTTTCTTTTTTCTTGAAAGAAATATAACATTTATATAAATATAAAGCGTTTTAATCCAGAACCAAACTGCAGCCATGAATTAGCCATGTTGCACAGCAATGCTTTTTTAGGCTCAAGGAGATGCCACTTTTTATAAAAACCATTAAAAACACAAGTAACATGATCAGATTGCTCTGAATAATCAGCTTATAATTACTAGGACTGGAACAATTCATGGAAAAAAACATGCACTCCAACATTAAAAATGATATTGACTGAAACATCAAAGAGGATATTAAGGATATTAAAAATATTTTTTAATCTAATTTCATAAATATGTTATACATAATTGGAAGACTTAGACAAAAAGCACAGTTTAAATTCCAGCTAACTGCTGTTGCTGTTCCAAAGGAAATGTCCTATTATTCCTGACAAGTTGAGTTGAAATTTGTCTGACAGCTTGAATATCTCCAGCTTAAGAATGCTGTTTCCTTTTTAAAAATGGCGGCTAAATGGTTGACACAACCTCGATTGTCAAACTTGTCTCTTTTATTAGAGGAAAGAACCAATGGAAAGCTTTAATTTTTTTAGATAAAAACTGTATTTTTAGATTAAGATTTAAAACGAAGCTTACCGCAGAGTCAGCGTGTATTCCCCTTTAGTCCCGCTGGAAGCATTTCGTACCAGAAATGTACCATCAGGAGTGTTTCTCATCATCTCATTTACCTCCTCTCTAGATAAAATAAAAGATAACATTTATCATTTATCTGATTTAGAAAGACTGAAAAAAAGATACCAAAACAAAATTGTAGAAATACTAGCCTTTCAAATTTATACTTTCAATTGAGATTAGTCTTGAAACCCAAACGTTGTTCATTTTCTACTTTTTTTTTTATCATTTCAGGATTGCAGACGTCTTAAAGTGTTAATTTGGAGCTTTGGATCCAAATTAACCCTAATCCAGATTATATAACTGGTTCATACCTTGAAATGTTGCCCCAGTACCATTCTGCATCAGACAGCTGCTGATCATCAGTGCTTCTGTCAGAGGCTGCCATTGCTTTATTTACGTTGTTCTCTGCTGGAATATCTGACCACAAAGCACAGAAAACTTTTATGTAACGACAAAATGAAAACAAGAATAGGAAAACCCTCCAATGAGGCTGAATTGAAACAATCCTAAAAAGAGTCAAAAATTTCTCTACAGTACTATGAAAACCCAATTGCTATGTGCAAAATTCCTTCATTGGATTAAAAAGTATTTGGCATAAATAATCCAAATGTATTGTTTATATGGGCTTGAAATTGATTAATCCCATCACGCCATGTTTACCAGCACCAAGTTTTTTCAGAAAAGGAGTGTTTACATGCGTAGAGTTGTTAAATTTCCCTAAGAAACACAAAGTTGAACTTCTGTTTATTCCAAACATAAAAACAAACGCTGAAGTGTCTTCGTTCTGCATCTTCTGGGTGCCAAGAATGAACTGGTACCAGGTTCTAACTAAGCAACACAAGCTGTTGGTCTTCCAGCGATCAGAATGAAATGAACATCCTTCTCAAAATAAATGACATCTCTCTTATTGGACAAAGGGCACAAATGTCAAGTTATTTTGCCACCATCAGAATAATCACAAATGTTCGGGTCATCAATCAGCATGAACCAGCTACAGTTTCATTCCTGCAGAGCTGAATGCAATTTGAGTATTCCCTTTGGGGTGCCATTTATTCCAATTATTCCCAGCCTATTTGGTTATCAAAAACACATAATGGCACAACCCATTTATGGTTAATGGAGGCTTCAGGGTCTGGCTGATTTGGACATCTATTTTATTAAATTAAGTCATGATGTTTTAAATTATTTCAAAAGTGAAAGTCAAAAGCCTTTTTATTGCCATTGAACAATAACTTTGTGAAATACACAGAAATATAAGATGAAAGGAAAAAAATCCCTCAAGACAACAAACTAATTGAACATCAATATAGCTTAAAACTCCAATCAATAATAATTTAAAACTCTCAAAGCATATGGAAAGAAACTTCATATACATCTATCTATGAGTTCTGGTTGTGATAGACCGGCGTTGCCTGCTGAAAGGCAGCAGTTCGAACAAATGATAACTGGGATAGGTGACATCTTGATCTAAAACATTTAAGTTTGACAAATGAGTTTGCATTCTGAATTAAATGCTACATTAAAATTGTAGTTCGATTGTTCATAATAAACATCCTTCATCTATAATCTACTTTTCTTTTTCAGATACAGATATAGCAAACAAAGTCGAAGCACAACAATATGATGCATAACACAGAAAAACTGGATCTTTTTCAGATAAAATGAATTAAAAGATTTGGAGTACCTCCTTCTTTGCTCATGTTCGTTGGTTTCAGGTCAGGATTCACATGATCTTGAGCAAAATGGGAGGAGAGCTGCTGAGGAACCGGTGTCCGAATGCAAGCTTTCTCCTTGCTGTCGTTTTGGTCCTTTTCTGTTTCCAGGAACTCTGAAACATCAACCACACAGCAACCCAGGTTTAACCGTGGTGTCAGCTCAGGACACTCGGTTTGTGACCATCCACACTCTCTGGCAGTCTGCACACACTGCAGGTCACCCAGCAGGACTGGAGGAGATATCCTGTCTTGCAGCTTGCAGGAGACTCTGTCCAGACTAGTGTGCTGACAGGTGACACTGTCTGACTGCCTAAAATACCAAAACTGGCACTCCTCAGCGCCCGAGCGAACTCGGCCAGACCCAGTTCTGCTTAGCGCTCAACCTCCCCTTGCCTCGCCTAACAAACAACAGCTGCCTGCATTGAGATGCCATGTCAGTGTGGCAGATTTTAAGATGACGTGCTGCCTTCCTCGTTTTGTTGAACATATGCATGTCAGTGTGTGATTCTGAATGCAGATGAAACGTGAGAAGTTGTCAGCTGGACATTTCTTGAAGTAATGTGTAGCGTGGGTCATTTTCTTTGAACAGCATGTAAACACACCCACGCCTGTGCTGATAAATGTGTGTAGTGAGAGCTGCTGTTAACAGTTGATGTAAGTTATCCCTTCTGCACTTGCGATGGCATGCCTGGAGATGTTTTAAATTGCTGCGGCAGGCAGAGCCGTCCGCAGGAGGAATCATACACATGCTGTTGTAATATAAGAAAGGGGCAAACTAACAAGCTCATGGCCTCAAACTGTCCAGCTCTGTCAAAACTTGTCTGATATTAAAAGCTGAAGAGCATCAATGTCTAAAAAAATCTACATCTATTCATTCCTCTTGAGCGTTGCCCTTTTACTTTATTTTATTGAGATTTATAGTTGAAACCAGAAGTTTTATGTACGCCAAATAAAAAGACATACAATTATTTCCCAGCATGTAATTTCTCTAAAAAAACAGAAAAAACCCTTTACATATTTATTGAAACTGTTACTGTTGCTACTGCATGATATAAGATAGATAATCTGTGAAAAAATCTAGCTTCTCTGCCTTCTTCTAGTGCTAGCTGGAAACAACCCGGAGGCGGGTCTTGGCACTGTTGATCAAGCTCATGTATGCGCTGATCATCCCATCTCACCTGTCCTTCTTCCTTACAGCCTGTCGTGAATGTTCAGACTAGTTTATCCAGTGATGATGGATCAACGATTTTCCTGGGATGATAAGTTGTTTCTCCATCATTAGCACATTGAGCAGCATGTACAAGAGGTTGATGGACAGCATTAAGACATTCCTCCTGGCGCTGATTTGTTGGTTTTGGTTGCTAGTGTTGTATATCTGCAGATGGCAATAGTAGCTCAGAGATGAGGTGGGGGAGCATGATATTTTATCTGCCTTCTGTTTTACTGTAATGACATTATTACAGTAACATTTATAAAATTGTTTTTTTTTATTTTTTACATAAATTACATACTGCAGCTTTAAGACTCACATACTTGGGTATACTGTGTGATTATTGAAATTTCATCCTGACTGCCTACATTTTTTGTGACAAATCCCCTTGGTAACACTTTATTTGACGGGTTGTGAATAAGTGTGTCATGACACTGTCATAAACGTGTAATAACGCATGTAATGAACATGAATGAGTTCATGAATATTTATGACTGTTGTCATAAAGTGTCATTCAGTAAATCATGATGCTTTTCGCGCAAAGTTGACGTTATTCAAAATGTTATGACACTTCATATTTAACCAAGAAATCATGAGCTGGCAAATTTGTTACAAAAGTATTACTGATTAAACTTTAAAAATGTATGTAGATTTATGGTTTTAAAGCTAAAGACATAACATACATCACCATAAAAATGTATGGAAATTTCCATGGCGTGAAGTACACCATAATTACACATAATCTTTTTTTTCTTATCTTGCTACCTATTTTATGAAGTGTACCAAATCCTTCTGGTGCAAAAAAGCCCCACATCATGATCCTGCCGCTTCCATACTTGACAGAAGGGATGGTGTTAACACTTTTTCCTGTAAATTTAACAATGGTCATGATGGCCAAACAGCTTAACTTGAGTCTCAGACTTGTGAACATGTCTCCAAAAATGAAGGACTTTGTCCGCGTCTGCATTTGAAAACTGTAATCAGTTTTTTGTGTGTGCGTTTCTCACTGTATTACCAGCTTCTGAAGATGCTGGCTTTAATTTTGGGATTAATCAGAACATTTTGGACCAGAATACGTTAATCTGTTCAACTCGTCTTTCTGAACTACATCACTGACAACTGTTTTAGTTTGAACTCTTTCATGAATAGACTGAGATTTGGTAAAACTTGTGCTTAAGATGAACTCGGAAGATTTTTTTTTTAATTGATCATTGATACACACACACACACACACTTATTCCAGCTTTGTCAAAGCTTTAAGTAAATTCAGAAGTTAAAAAGGCCAACATCTCTTAGAACTTTAATGTCGTCTTACAAACCTGATGACATGTCTTTTGTGTTTATGTTCAAATTTTACTCTGGTCTCAGCAACAACTAAATCCTGCCATCTGCTGGTTATTCAGTCGAGAACCAAATGGAAAGAAATGGCATTTGGTTTTATAGTAATTTAGGGTTTTGAGCAGCATAAAGCGGTTTCTTAACTCTTTTAGAGAGATTTAATTTTCTCCAAGACTCGTGTTGAAAGCTGCTCACTTGTAACTGATTCAGTTGGGCCACATCTGTTAGCCACGTTACGACTGGCTCAAGGTCATAACAAAGTTACACTGCCATAAATACACAGTAATAATCTGGGTTATTTACCCTGTTATAAGAGAGAGAAAATGGGGGATAATTTTTGAGTATTTCCACCATGTTCATTCATCAAAATGTCACAATTCAAAACTAAATGCTTAGTTTGTAAGTTAGTATTTATCTTCAAACAAAAATATTCTAATATAAATGAGATGAATGAGAAATAATTGAAATATTTTTCAAGCTACATAAATGAAACAGTTTGAAGCAAAATATTTAGTTTACAAATTGTGGTTATTTATAAATGAATTAATGACATGCTATTAACCCCCTTTTTTTTCTCTTATGAGAGCCTAAAAAAACAAAATGACACCTTTTACATTAGAGCCAGAAATTGTGTCAAACTCAAGGCCCGGGGGCCAACTCTGGCCCGCCATAACATTTTATGCGTCCTCCTAGACTTTAAACGGACCCCTAAAAATAACAGTTTGTGTCCTTGAATTTTGATTATCGATCAACTCAAAGCATTTTTTTTTATCGGTATACTGCCTAATTACTAGGAATGTCATTATAGTTTTATTTCAAGTAAAATAATGGTAATGTCACAATAAGAAAAAAATTATTCTCCAAGATTAATAAACTTTAAATTGAAATGAACATTTAACAATAACACATTCAGTAATACATTTTAAATATTCAAAATAAATCAACAAAACGGAAACAACAAATACAATTATGAAGACCGTAAACAAGACTGTCCTTCAAAAAAAGGGTTAGTTGAGACCAAAGCATCAGACTGAAGACTTTTATTTTCTGGTTTTTGGTAGAGAGAGAAAAAAGAGAAAAAATTTAATCATATAAATTGAAATGATTCAGCTTGTTTACATCAATGATACAACTTAGCAAATATAGAAAGATATTTATTAATATTGTAACAATTTGTTAGTGGAATATTTCAGTTCATTCTACCACAATCTTAATATGACCCAGAAAAAAGGAGTTTTACACCCCTGCTTTAGAGAAAACATCATTTTGTTTTCATCTCTTTTCAAGCTGAACATCACAATGAGATCCTATTGATGCATCCAAACTCTTGAAGCAGTACTTTTAATCTTACCTTGATCTGCTGGTGGAGCGATCTCTGCTCGCTGCTGTGATTGGTCAGGAGGTGGTGATGTAATCGCAGGAAGGGCAGCATCGGGCTCTGGATTGTCCTTCATGTGGCCAGTGTTCCCGATCCCAATGCCGTCCCTGAGATGGAGGGATGCTAGCGATGACGCAGCCTGGTGCTCGTCGTCTGTCCCCAGCTGGAAACTCTCCGCTGCCATTTTCAAAACGTCGACTGAATTGTCCAGGTTGGTTTTATTGAGGGTGAAGCAGGAAGTTGGGCCACAGTGCTGCTGACAACATACTATCAGCTCAGAGTTGCCCTCATGGCTGACCGATCAGATGGTGGAATTGCGGAGATCATGGCTGCTCAGTGTTGCCAACGTCGTCCAAGCTCCCGTTGCTCAGCCACAGTTTTAAACACATCGTACAGCAGGCTGATGGCATCGCCAGGAGATCTGGTCTGTGCTCGTCTTTATCTAGAGCTTCTTTGCTCAAGCACAGATCTGCTTATTTAAAGCAATTCATATCAGAAGTAATGAGTCCCATTAACGAAGCTTGAGGATGCAGATGAACAACAGATTGATTTCTTCAAGGATTCATGAATAAACTTTTCCCAAGAAGCCTAAGAGAGCAAGGCAAAAAAAAAAAGACTGAGGAAAAGAACGAAAAGGCCAGACGGCAGCGTTCAGTGGAAATGCAGCATCATTTGACGTCATGCTCAACATTTTTATTATTTATTCTATAACAGATTTCAGCCCTGACGCAGCACATTTCCCCAAGATTGTTTTTATTTTTGGTTCAGTAATTTATTTGCTAAACATTTTTGTTGCTGAGTTACTAAATTCCCAGTTACAATTTAATAAAAATAAGAAAAAGAAATGTAGCTTTCACAAAAGAATGTGAAAGCACAAGAGCTGAAGTAAAAACAGGATTTTTAAACATATTAAAATTTAAGTACTCCAAACATTAATTTGCATTTTTGTCAAAAACAAAAGGCTATTTATCTATATCTAAAAGTAAAATATAAATCAATGTGCGCAAATGATGCACAACAAAATTAAAAATGTAGCATTTCTTGAAGAAAGGCAGAGCAACTGAGATATTAAGAATAAATAAACTGTTCTTTATATTGTGCATTCATTAAAATTTGATAATTTATCATTTGGATTTTTTTTAGGAGGTATACATAGCTTTTATTAATAAAACATATATATACACAAATATATATAAAGGAAAATTGTTTTAAAAATTGGTTTTAGTTACTTTTTAATAAAAATAAATAAATGTATTTAACAAAATGAGAAAAGACATTAAAATAAAAATTTATATATATTTTTTTTATCTGAAAATGTAAAAAGCTGTGAAACAGAAAAGATTTCACTTTGAGGTGTCTTTTCTCTGTTTCTTCTCAAACTGGGGGAAAATAATAAAGGGTATTGATGTAATTTTATCTTAAAATTACAGGTTTCTTTGAACTAAACTGTCGCTGAAAAATTCTTAAATGTAGAAATCAAAAGAAAAAATTTTAAATAAAATCAAAAAAGCAAAGAGGGACTGTTCCACATTTGGGATTCAGTGGATTTCTCCGAACTTTGCTCCGTGTGAAGTCCTGCTAAAGGTTTTATCTGTAGATATACACATAATGTAGGTACAGCATTATGTTAGGAAGCCCTTTACGTGACAAAAGAGTTTAGGGGGTCAGCAGCTAAATCCTGCTCCTATCCCATAGCGATGGATTAGTCAGCGCATTCTCCGCAGTGTAACCTCTTATGGAAGGGATTTGTTTGGGGATATCCTTTATTTGCCCTAGAAGGGAGGAAAAATTACCATACCGGCATGTTTAAGGCAAATATTTAAAGAGTTGCTTCACATGACTAATGATATTCTATCCTGAGGGATGAGGTGTGCAGAAAATGGGGGGAGATTATTTTAAGTAATGGAAATGCAAGTGAAACGCATCAAATTTAAATATGTTTTTATCTTTACTAAAATTTTTACACTATTCTGTTTCAAAAACTAAAGCTCATCATATCTGACTACTAGATAAATCGTCTGTTCCTGCATACTGATAGGTTTTTCCTTTTTTTTTGGTGTTTTGATTACTGTGGGGTTTGGTTTGTTTCAGCCAAAGAAGCAGGTGAAAGTTTCTAAATTCACCAGCTGAAGCTTCCTCCCTCATCCAAACCTGCAGAGGAGAAAATGGCGTCGTGTGGAGATAGTTGGGATGGTACGCAGACGTTAAGTCGCCATGGGTTGACGCTCTTGGTTGATCATATTGAGGTTACATCGAGTCGATTATTGGTTTACCAATGCCAACATTAAGACAAATCCCTTAAAAACTGTTAATTTGAATTTTTACAGTATTTGGCCCAAAATAATCGAACATCTACATAGGATAGTTCAGCGAGGCTCCTTCTTCACCTGTTATTGTATTTTTACTGACATCCTCTTACTTTTCTTTACTGTGATTTGTTTTCAGCATTGCTTTTAATGTGCACAATTAATCAAACGAAATAATCAACGTATTGGCAAGTGTTTAGTTGATTTATTTATTTATATAAGGAAATCCAGTGAAGAGGATTCAAACCTCATCAGATGTCCGATTACATACCATCACTAAAAATGTAATAATTTCAGGTATTTTTCTTGTTTTAGTTGTCGTCTTTGTGTAAAAGTTTATATTTTCCTTTTAACTGTTATTGATTGTGTCGCATCCAGAACTGATAACGGGACATCTGATGTACGCCATATTTTCCCAACGCCTTCAAGCTGCCCCCCCACCCCCAACCCTCCATTACCCTGTAACTAAGCTCTGAACGACGAAGAGCCGTGGATGCAGAATATGCAGAGAACTTTTAAAATGGCAACTTTTGGAGCGGGCGTCATCCGACCAGCCCGGCTACAGAGAAGGGGGATGAAACGCCATCGAGAAGCTCAGCCACGCAGGACAGGATGCACCTACCTGGGCCAAGACGGAGGAGACCGGGGCAGCGTGGCGAACCAGCGTCTCGTCGACATCCATGAAACGGCGAAGAGACGTTGCCGGACGCACACGTGGCTCCGATCAAACCAACCACCAGCCTATGTCCTCACGCCATCCTGTGTCCCTCCGCCCCCCACCGCCTCCCGCTCCTCCTATCCCGTTGACGCGTCTCCTCCACAGCTCTCCATCATCTTCAGATCCTCTCCTGTTGGGTGTTATCTGTCCTTTTGAAGTAGCACATTTTCCCACGCTGTCATTCCTCCAGGTTTTCCATCTCTTCCTCACGGAGCTTCTTGAATTTCAGCCTGATTCAAAGTCAGTGCCCACAGTTTTAAATGCAGTGTGCAGGAGAAACTCCAATAATATTTAAAGTGCATTCTAAAGAAAAAAGGAGGGAAAAAAAGACCACAAAGTGTGGATTTTAGAGCCAGTGGAGGTGAAGGAGGAGAAAAAGCTGTATCGGTGCAGCACTGCAACTCTTTTTCACAGTTTGAGCCACAGTGAGGATGCACTGTTGGGGGACACGAGCAGGAGAATGAGACGGCAAAGGAAAAAAACTCCTATATAAATAAATAAGGAAAGGATGCCACTGTTGCTATACAGAGGAAGGGGCTTAGTAGTCTCCTGAAATCCTATTGGTCGGCCTGTTGCCATGTGCTCAGCAGTCAGCAGAGATGCTGCTAACAAATCAAGGAAATGTTCTAATATTAGACTGTATGTTTCTAGGCAGCGGGAGCCCCTGACCTCTCAACTCCGACTGCGTTACGTTCCACTTCACAGATCAGCATAATGAAACAAGTGGTGTGGAAGTAACTGGTTAAAAAAATGCTAAAAAATGTTACGGCGCTGTAGACAGAACCAGACACCGGCCCCCTCCGCTCCAGTACCAGGTCTCTCTGTGTCGTGCAGGTTGACTGATCAAAGGGACAAAATGAGGATGAGAGGGGAGGAAATCGTCTTTATTTTAGCCAGATGGAAATCATTCTGCATGGGTCCAGTCATTAAAATTTAAACACTCTTTACAGGGAAAACGCATCACTAATGAGGCAGTAATTATGAAGAGGTGACAAATTACACTTCTTCTTTTGCATTTTAAATTTCCTGCTGTTTGAATTTTCCCAGTGAATGGTATCCTTTTTTTAAAATGGCACCCTAGGTTAGTTTTTCCAGCTGCAATTGCCCAAATGCATGGATAAAACTGAACAAGATGCTGTTTTCAGAAACCGCACTTTATTTTCCTTTGCATAAATATTTCACTGAAACCTCACCCATAACATTTCTTTACCCCTTAGTTTCTTCTTTCTGTTCTCATCATTTTTCCTCAGTTATTCAAGATAACATAATAATGTCCACATCCTCCTCCATATGATGTATTTTTGCAACAAACTATTTAATCCCCAGGCTCCTCCTCCTCTGCTACATACTAAAGCTATACTGGACTCCAAACTGGTTGTAAGATTGAATCTCTGCATCAAGATCTGGTTTTGCTCAGCGACTTCTTCCTCATCCAGTGGACAGTTTCAGCCTTGAAAAGCCATTGATCATAATCAATTTTTATAAGCTATAAGTTCTCATCCATGAAAGGGGATGAAAACTTTTCAGTCACTTCGTCCTGACCAACACAAGCTGACAGTCTTTATGTCTTTAAATCCAGAGGTAGTTTTCTAAACTCCTTACATGAAAGCATATTCTGCAGGTTTGGTTTTAATTGTAAAATTTTCTTGGGGTGAATAACAAAAAAACATTTAGATGAGACAAATTTATGCAAATATATTTAATATATCATTTATATATATTTAACATACAAAGCTGATTACAATCTTTGACACGCCTGCTGTGTAAGCACAAAATATTGTGAATTCTGTGTCTAAGATGTAGGCGTGTAAATCGTTTTGACCAACAGATAAAGCAATGTTACAGGATTGTGGTGCTTTGCACATCCGTTAAATAAGACGGGATAGGAAAGCAGGAGAGGAGCAGCACACATCAGGATTGTTTGGTTTGTTAGGATTGTAGCTGCATCTGTAAATCAGTGACAGATTTAATGTAAAACAATGGATGAACACGTTTTATATGCACATCATTTAGCCCATTGTGAGTGTGCTGTGCTAAATAGTAAAATGTTAGTAATGTGCAAATATTGTAATGTTTTATTTCCCATTACAGACAAAAGAAGAAGAACTGTACTACAGAAAAGAACGGGTAAGTACATGATAGAACCGTCCGAAACTTTCTTGGAAAAATACTATTCTCATATCAACAATACTTATAAATGCAGAACGTATAGCAGTACATGTGCATTTAAATAAATGTGTTTAAGGTATATTCCAGTGGAGCTTTTCACAGCTCAGATCCAGTTAAATGTTCTGGTTTGTCGGGTTCGATAAACCGCAGAGATGCTGTCAGTCTGCAGGCCAGGACTTGTGGGGGTTTGTGGGGCTCCTGGGTTGAGCCTTTGGACTTCCCTGAACAGAGAAAATAATGAATAAGGGAAGAAAGTGAAGTGAAGAAATCTTGATTCTGCTAAATCCTCAGTGTTAACTGTGTATTTAACACTCTGTGTGATATAAATGCATATAAGTATATATTTACATTATGGTCCGTTCAAAAGCCTTTAGGTTCCTCCACTTATTTGCCGTTCGAGAATATATTCTAATAAAATTTAAATGTTACTTTAAACATGAATCTGCTAGCTGTATGGATAATTTTGGGCTTAGTTGAGCAGTTGCAGAAGGGCTTTATAAATTTTAGACTTTATGCTTTGTTTTAGAAATCTGGGTTTTTTGTTTAAATTTATTACAGTGGAGGAAAACTGTAAATCCTCTTTGAGGAAATACCTAAAATGCTGCAAAAATGTTAATTCATGTTGAGTTTTCTTCTTCCAACTTATTAGTAAAAATTAAGAGGCCACTTAAAATGATCAGTTTCTCTGATTTTACTTTTTATAGGTATATGTTTGAGTAAAATTAATATTGTTCTTTTATTCTATGAACTACTAACATGTCTCTGAAATTCCAACCAAAAAATTTAGTTTTTATTTGCAGAAAATGGGAAATAACAAAATAATCTTATTTTCGAAAACGATTCAGTGATTTCAGACCTCAAATAATGCAAAGAAAACAAGTTCATATTCCTTTAGAAACAACAATGCTAATATTTTGACTCTAGGAGAGTTCAGAAGTCAATATTTGGTGGAATAACCAGGAGGTTTTCAATGGGGTTCAGTGCAGTGGGCTCTTCATTTTTTCCAGAGCTGAATCTCTGGTGTGTTTGCTAAAGCTACGATATGCACAGATCATCACACTTTAGAGAAAGCGTCTGTGCATTTAGCCGCTGTTCTCGCCTCAGATATAATTCATTTCAATGATTTCTTTGGCAGAAGTGACTCCTTTCATGCTTTTTCTCATCTTTATCCAGCAGTTCAGAAATCTTTGCTTCTCTCTCACATTTTCCATTTGTGGAAAAGCTGTGGATTAGTCACCGTAGTCTCCCAGTGGTTAATCAGGGTTGGTGGTAGAACCAGTTCTTTATTGGTCTGGTTTCTGTAGCCACAGAGTCTGAAGTCTCCTGCACTAACTATTTGGATTTTTCTTTCATTGTCTTCTGAATTTAATAAGGTAACAGTTAATTTAACTCCATAAATGTGTTATTTATCCTAATATTCCTGCATAGTGACACCCTATTGTTACTGACTTGGTATCGCCAGCATCAATAAATTTACAAATTGCTCATTTAAAAATGTTCATTAAAACCACATGGAAATATTTATATCTAGTGCAAAACAATGTCTTTTTATTGCAGCTTTATGTCGCGCTTTCATACAGAAACTGCTTGACTGATAAATAAGCGCTGAGAAGAGACTGAGTTAATGTTGTCCTCGTTCTAATTGGACTTCATATTATAGCTCAGTTTTTGGTGTTTTTTTGGTCTTAATTTGGTCAAATTTGAAAAAGAGTGTTTTTGTCTATGCTCTGTTGTAAACCTGCAGAGTCAGCATCTCCATGCAGTCTGCCCAGTTTCCTTAGGAAACTTTATTTTTAAGACCGACTGGTGTAATAAACTCAGTGTGTCATAGCAAGAACAAAGCGACATGCATGTAATTTTAATATTTGATCAATTTGACTTTATTCTTTTGCTTATACATTCAGTGCGCTTGTCTTTTCCATGGGATTGAAATTATACTTAATTGGTGCTAATTGAATAAATTTAATTGCTCTTTTACTTTTATTTAATTTGCGTTTTTAGTTCTTTGTAGCCAGTGTTTGCTGTTATTTTAAGTGTTTTATACATGCATGCATTTGGCTTGGCTTTATTACACATTTGAACTAAATTATTGCTAAAAAATAACATCATAAATAAAATAAAGTTTTCTCATTTGAGTCATTTGTTGGCATTGATCAGTCCAAGAGTGTATAATAATTTTGGCAAAAATAAAAATCGTTTAGAGTAATAAAAACTTAAACTTTAGTAATATTTCCTCTGTTTCATGCAATATGTGCATGACATTCACTTTCATCTTTCAAATTTTGACATCTTCTATAAAATGTGTATACTCCTATCATCAAAAATATCTAAAAACCAAATAGTCTTTTAATATGAAAAAAAAAACAATTTTCTATGCAATTTTCTATGGTAGATATGGTTAAAAATAAGCTACATTTTTACATAGTTTTAGTCACTCTAAGCAATTTTCTTTTTAGCTGGACCCCGGGTCAAATGTGCTCAGAGTTGTAAAGGTTACTGGGTTCATCATAACTCTTACTTTAGGAAACATTTATTTGCTGCAGCCATGTTTATTATTAAATATTACTGTTGTTTGCACTGGAAATGCTAATGGCTATGTAGACAGACTTTAGTGAACCCACATAAGGTTTGATTCTCTGATTATGAGCTAAGCAACAATTTTTCTACCAGTTTTTAAATTATTTCCATAATAATTTTATAATAATAATTTTTTTTCATGAATTACCAAGAATTTAAATAACTATTGAAAGGTTTATAAAGTAATGGTGGAAAACTTTTCATTACTTCTTTCTTCTCACAGTTCTGTCTGCAGTAGCGTGGCAAAACCAAAAGGGGGCAGCAGTGTGCCATAAATCAGATCCATAACATAACATGAGCTGCACCAACTTTTGCTGGCTAAACCCCTCAAACTCTAAAGCATGTAATTAATTTTTTTACCTTTTATATAATCTTGAGCATGTTAATCAGTTATCTTAATGGTTACATTAAATACCAGATAAATAACAGATGAACTCACCAGAGAAGTCTGGGACTTTGCATAGTTCATATGGGCATAAAGCAGCACAGCTGTGTCATTGTGAGCCGCCTCCAGCGCGATGGACAGAGCGTTACTGCCGTCCTGCAGGCAGAGGGAAGCAGTGCAGAGAGAGGAAGCATCAGATCACTGTCCATAAAATCCCCAGAGTCTGAACAGAGCGTTGCAGTGTCAAACGGGCCGCGTGATTCACGTTGTGGATGGTTTCATCGATTGGTTAATTTGATAATTATGG